TAGTGCAATGGTTGTCCTGCACATTATAGGATGTTTGGTTGCATTTCTAAACATCTAGTCCTTTACTCATTGGCCCCCTTCTCAGTTGTGATATTTGTTTTGTTAATCGTATCCCAAGGATATATTTCCCATTGTTTTTTCAGAGACAGTGGAAGAGAGGGAAGGAGGGAGGGAAAGAGAGAGAGAGAGAGAGAGAGACATCGACTGAGACACATGAATTGGTTGCCACCTGCACAGCACTGACCAGGGACAGGGATCAAACCTGCAACCCAGTACCTGCCTTTGACGGGGAATAGAATTTGAAGCCCTTCGGTGTTCAGTCCAGCACTAACCACCAAACCACACCGGCCAGCACGTGTGATATTTATGTTTAAATGTCTCCAGACATTGCCAAATGTCCCCAGGGGGTGGGGGTGGGGGTGGGGGGCAAAATTGCCCCTGGTTGAGAACCACTGGCCTTGAAAAAGAACATCTTTTTTATAATTCTCCCCCAAATGCCATATGGTGAACTAGTACCCCTAATGGAATTTACCATGGTCCTGGGAATATTCCTCCAGGCTAAGCAGACACACAGGCCTCGTCTGTCTACTACACAGTGTGAGGCTTTCAGTCCCTTCTTCCTATGAGTTACAGACTTAGGACTGGACAGAACATTCCAGGTGGCTAACTAAGAGAAGCTCCTCCTGGCAGACAGAAACTTAAATGAGGGCCCATCCAGAGCATCACCACTGGTGTTCCGATGGACAAATGAGCATGGTCTCTTGGCCTCTGTGCCTTTCATCACACTTTGTAATTCACAAACTGTTCCCAGTGTTGCCTGGAAAATCGTTAGTCATCATATGTAAATTCCTGTTCCTGCACACCCTGAAATATGCTATATGCTAATTACTTCTCATATGAGAAGTGGCTAATTTTTAAAAATCTGTAATTCTGAGTGTCTGCCCTTAATATTTGAAGGTTCCTGTTTCGGCTTATTGTGTTAGCATGGCTGTCTCCATCATCAGACATAGAAACCTCTCATACCTCTATTTCAGATGCTTTGGAGTATGAATGCCATCTCTTCCAAGTCCCTATATTCCACAAAGTTTATTTCATACATGTCACTTAACATGTATTTTAACTCTGGCTTTTCCCCCACAAATCTGGTGCAAATTCCTGTCCTGCCATTTCCTCATTATGTTGCACAGGCAGGAGCTTCATTTTCTCTCTGTGGATTTGCTTCCCTCCCCCCACCCCTCAACTGATTTCCTTACTTGCCTTCACTTGCTTATGTTTTGGATTCTGAATATTCGATGTGCTCAAGACTTAGTGGATACAGGATTTAGGGTCTGCAAAAGTCACTTAAAATTTTTTTTGTTTTCTTTACTGACTTTAGAGAAAAAGGAAGGGAAAGGGAGCGAGAGACATCCATGAGAGAGAATATCGACTGGCCACCTCCTGCATGCCCCACACTGGGGATTTGGCCCACAGCCTGGGCACGTGCCCTCCTCAGAATCGAACTGCCTACATCTTGGTGTATGGGTCCACGCTCCACCACTGAGCCACATCAGCCAGGTTGCAAAGTCACTTTTAAAAACCCGTTACAACCATTTCAGCCAAACTTAATGGAGAACGCGATACTGACTCTGGAGGCATTTTCATGCCGAGACATACAATAAACCCGTCTCAAGCGGGTGGCGGACCGGGCGGGGCTCCAGAAGAGAAGACACAGGATTGGAACTGGGTGGGGTTCCGGGCTGAAAAGCCTTTTTTACTCCTCTGGCTCTTGGCGCCAAGACTGAAACCCGGAGCCCGCAAAGACGCTTCCGGCCAGCACGCCGGCACCTGCGGGGCTCGTCAGGGCACAGCACCGCCGCGCGCAGTCCATGGCGGGGCGCCACTGTCACAGACCGCAACCCAGCGTCCTCGAGATCCAAGTTTCCAGGATTCGAGATAAAGTTCAGAAAACGTCCCACTCCCTGAGGGAACCGCTCAAAGTAAACACCCTATTGCAAGTGTAACTTTGCATTCGGTCCATCATCCCCTCAAACACAAAACGTTTTTCCTCGGTCTCGAATCTCTGACGACCGGAGAAAAGGAAAAGCTCTATCAACACATTCCCCAGACCGCTTCCTCAGACCCCGAGGGAACGGAAAACTAAATCGCACAAGGGACCACCCCAAGGGAAGGCGGTAACCCGGAAGGACCAAACTAAAACCCGCAGCTGCGCCGCGGCGCGCAGGTGACGTCCGACGTAAGACTCTGACGTAAGCCTTCCTGCCGCAGAGCATGACGGGAGGAGGGGTGGGCCGCCGGACGGCGGGCGCCCTGTGAAGAAGAAACCGACTGTACGGATGACTAGAGAGAGAGGCGCGCCCCATAACTGTGGCAACTTGGGGTTACCTACTTCTTATGGAAACTGCATTGGCCGTGCGGCGCGGGGTCGCCCCCAGTTTTCGTGAGTCCGCATGAAGCGCATGGTGACGCCATTCCTGAGCGCTCCAATGCGGTGCCGGCTGGAGGGCGGGCTCTTCGAATTTGAATTCTCCTGCTGTGGTGAGTGGTAGGGAGCCCCGGCTGCGCCTGGGGCCGACCGTCGCAGGGCGCCCACCCGGGACGGCCGCCGTCTCCCCTGCCAGGCCTTCCAGTCGAGGTAGGGCCTCCCTCCCTTCCCCTCGCCGGGCCTCTGGCGCTGCGAGCCCAGCCCTTGAGCATTCTGGCCTCTCGGGCTTTGTACACTCCTGGCTTTGGCGGTGGTTGGAACTACTTGTTCATTAGGTGTGGGCGTTTGTTGCGTGTCTACTACCGTTATCAAGAGAGTAGCCCCCTTTCGTTAAGATTCCTTTCGGTGGTACGCGCTCTAGGCCTTTGTTCTAACATCACTTCTAGGGAAAAAAACTTTATTTGAGAGTGATTACCAAGTAGGAAGATTGTGTGCGTCACTGCCCAACTTTTCACCGTGGGACCCAAGAGCCACAGGGTATAGAGACAATTGATCCATCCAGCTTGTATTCTTCAGATGAAATTATATATTGGTTTTAAACACTTTCAGATGTTAAAATTGATTTAGAAAGTGGAAGCCCCCTTCAACCTTCTTTTCAAATATAAACACTGTTTACAGTAGGTACACTTCCAGATCTTTTCCCTGTGCTTAGTGCTTGGGTGTGCGTTGTGGGGGAAGGGGGGGGACAGAAAAGCAATTGTATGATCTTTTCTGCTGCTTCCTCTTTTAAATCCTCACTCAAAGATATTTCTTCATTGATTCTTAGCTAGAATGTGAGGAAGGGAGGGGAAGAGAGACATCGATGTGAGACAGAGAGACACCAATTGGCTGCCTCTCCAAAGACCCCGGCCAGGACCAGGGCTCGAACCTGCAACCGAGGTATGTGCCCTTGACTGGGAATCTGAAACCCTGACTTCCATCGGAGGGCTGATGCTCTAAACGCTGAGCAAGACCGGCCAGAGCCCTTTTTAAAATATATCCTAGCCACTGTCTGTTATTAACATGTATATATTGCCAGCATAAGGAATTCAAACCTGTAGAGAATTTTTGGAGTTTGAGCCAAACTGACGACATTTGCTGGAAAGCAAACTCTCAGTTGATTGAGAAAAATGCTCTAGAAAATGGCAGTTCTGCACCCTGCTTTATACATGACAATCAAAAAATAAGATGTAAGTGGGTTACATGAAATCCATTGGTGATATATCAGGGAGGCAGGAGAAATCAAAGCAGAGAAATCTCTGGGATTGGATTTAAAAAATGATAGACATACATACCTCTTTTACATAGGTGAGTACAGAATAGTTAACAGTCAACACTTAATAACAATGAGGATTTGTGGTCGCCCTCTGATGCATTGGTTGTGCCCTGAGGGGTCCAGGCAAAGGTAAGTTACCCTGACCTTCCAGAGGTCTGTTAAAAAGTTTTAATTTCAGTTCATCCTTTTTGGTTACTTTAAGTCTCTGAGTTTATAAGGCCACCACACAGGCCTCCTTGAGCTTGTCTGGTTTAGTGTGTGACCACTTTTTGTCCACAATGTTTTTATTAAATACATAGAATTCATTTATATGGATGTAGCAGAATTTCTTCCCATATTAGACATTAAGATTGTTTCTAATTTCCTCTGTACTTTAGTAAAGGTCCTTATATAGTGCCTGTTTAAAAACTTGGGCTTTGAGCCCTGACCAGTTTGACTCAGCAGTTAGAGCAGTGGTTCTCACCCTTCCTAGTGCCTGGACCCTTTAATACAGCTCCTCATGTTGTATGTGGGCATATCTGCATGTGGGCGGACCTGCCTGGAGATGGAAAGAGGAGCGCTGTCTAGATTCCTAAGACCATCAGAAACGTGTGTTTTCCCATGGTCTTTGGTGACCCCTGTGAAAGGGGTAAGGGGTCGCGACCCTCAGGTTGAGAACTGCTGGGTTAGAGCCATCAACCCACAGACTGAAGGGTTGTGGGTTTGATTTCCGGTCAAGGGCACAGTACCTTGATTGCAGGTTGGATCCCTGGTCCCTGGTAGGTGTCCTGTGGGAGACATCCAATCCATGTGTGTCTCTCACATCCATGTCTCTCTCTTTCTTTCTCCCTCTCTCTTTTTCTCCTCACCCCCCCCCCCCAATCTTAAAAAAAAAAAAATCAATGGAAAAATATCCTCGGGTGAGGATTACAAAATAATAATAATAATAAAAATGTGGGCTTTGAAATCAGATAGTCTTGGCTCCGGCTCTTAATCATTGTCAGTGGGACCTTGGACAGGTTATTTAACTACCCTATGCCTTAGTTCATTTTCAAAATGAGAATAATTGTATTTGAGAATTGCTGTAAGATTACTTAGTGTCTGGCATATATGCAGTAAATGTTGGCTATTATTACCACATATATATATATATTTGCATTCTTATGTACATGTTTCTGTAAGAAAAGAAATTTAGAAAAGGAATTTTTTCTTTTTAATTTTTTTAATTGATTTTAGAGAGAAACATCGATTTGTTGTTCCACTTATTTATGCATTAATTGGTTGATTCTTGCCTATACTCGAGTGGGGATCGAACCCGCAACCTTGGCTTATCGGGATGGTGCTCTAACCAGCTGAGCTACCCGGCCAGGGCAGAAGAGGAATTTCTTGATCAAGGGCATACACACCTATATTTTGAAATTGATCTTTACCAAGCTGGTAAGTTAAGAAGTCTTACTATTTTTTTTCATGTGCATCTCTTCATTGATTAGTAAAATGGAGTGTCATTTCACTCATTTTTAGCCTTTATATTCTTTCTGTTAATTGCCTTTAATGTCCTTTGACCATTTTTTGTATTGATCATTTTTTTTAATTGATTCATTTGGTCTCTTTGGATGGTATATATTTTAGTCCTTTGTATGACGGGTACTGCTTTTGGGAAGGAGGGTGTTCAGATTTACCATTTGCCAGTTAATTTACAAGTTCTCTCATTTTTCCCAACTCCGCCTCCCAGTTTTGGTTAATGTGCTTTGGGATATTTTTGACCCATTCCATTATAATAATTAGTAGTAGTACTGCTGCTACTACTACTACAGTAAATTCCTAGAAAAGTTTTTCATGTCTTTTTGGGAAAAAGAGTAACAGTTACATTCAGTATCATGTTTAAGATAATACCAGTTGTTTTATCTTTACTTTTTTTTTTATCCTCACCTGAGGACATTTTTGGATATTTTGTTCAGATAGAGTGGGAGGGAGGGAGGGAGAGAGAGAGGGAGAGAGAAACATCGATGTGAAAGGGACACATCGTGTAGCTGCCACCCGCACAACCCAACCAGGGTCGGGGACAAACCGCAACTGAGGTATATGCCCTTAGCGGGAACCGAACCCAGGTCTCTCGGGACCGCAGGCCAACACTCTAACCGCTGAGCCAAACCGGCCAGAGCTATCTTTACTTTTATATTTACATTTACCATAAATGCTCATAGCTAGCCTGTTCATGTAATGTTTCCCATGCCTGAGTATTTTGAATAAACAACAATTTTTCCCTAGTACATTGGCATTGTCAGTTTTCAGAAAAAAATTATAAAGATTAGATTTTCCAAATAGCTTTAAGCAGTTCATAAAAGCACAAGCATACCATTTTATTTTTTATTTAATTAATTAATTTATTTTTGTTACACATGTTTCTCCTTTTTCCCCCACTGATTACAAGCATACCATTTTAGAATTCACTTTCTGTTCCCCAAAGAAAAAGCTAACGATTTCTTGTTTGTGACTTCTGTTGGGTCAAGTATCCTTGGCCTTCAGGACACTCAGCTCTTTTTTAACTTGAGGAATACCAATTACTGAATCCCCATTATCTAAGGTTTCTTTGTTTTATTAGACTCTAAGCAATATGATTTTTCTTTGTTTTGTTCTTCTTTTAGGTAGGAGGAGAATGGGGCTTCAGGTGTTTCTTGATGGCCTCTACCCAGTTGTGTTTTGGTTTTATTTTGTATCTGTTCTGCATAGTCTCTATGGTTAGAGAAAATCCTAGGTGATTTTTTTCCTCCTCATTATCCCTTTGTTCCATCAACTACACTGAAACCACTGTCAGCTACTGGAAACTCTTGGCTTCTGTTGAGTTGCTATTTGTCACATAGTGGGACAGAGGGGCTCGAAGAACTGTGACTTCCTGAGAGGGAGTGGAATATAAGGATCTTTAAAATGTTGATTACTCACCTCTGCATCTTACTACATGCTTGAATTGAGAAGGATGAGGTTGGGCAACATGAAAGAGGAGTATTGGAGGCTTTCAATGTGACTGTAATTATCTGCCTTTAGGTGAAAACATATATGTGTGTGTGTGTATTACACGTTGTACTTATTTTCTGTTCTGTTAGTTAATTTGTAGTTTATACTTCCTCTTGTCCATTTCAGTAGGTTCTGAGGAATTGAGATTGTGTAAACCTACACGTATTTTGCTGTGCAGTTGTCCCAGTTTACTCATTTTTATTTTCGAGATTTTAAAGTAAATGGCTAGTGAGTGTTGTAACTCCTAGCACAGGATTTTTGTCACTAGCACTTTGCTACACAATCATATGTGATGGTACATATTTGCTGAATTAACATTCTCTGGAAGAATTCAGTGGTTTTTGTGTCACAAGGCTAGTCTCCCAAGATATCTTTCTTTGTCAGCTCCTGTTATTGAAAAATGTTTTCTTCTGTTTTTCTTTTCTAAACTGTTGGATAAAATAGTAGTTTGTGTATGAATTTTTAACTTGTATATTTATTTCTCACAGAAGTTAACTATAGGTAAAGATACTTGGTCGTCAGTCTGATTGCTTTAGTATTTTCTGTGATAGGTTTTTTATGTTTATATGTCAAAGAACTATTGGAATGGTTATAAATTTAGCAGTAAAATATACTTTAAGTCCTGCCCATATGACTCATTGGATTGAGCCTCATCAAAGGGGTTGAGAGGTCCTGGTTGGATTACTGGTCAGTGCACATGCCCAGATTGCAGGCTCCATCCCCAGTAGGGGGTGTGCAAGAGGGAGCCGATTGATGTTTCTCTCTCATGTCAATGTTTCTCTCTCTCCAAAAAATCAATAAAAACATACTTTTTTAAAAAAAGATATGCTTTAAATCTAGGCTAGTAAGCTCCTCGGGCTAAAACATTTTATTTACCATTTATTACAGAATACAACTATATGGCTTATCACCTAGAACCTTAATTTCTAGGTGTCAGATATAAAATTTGTACATAAGAAACAAGCTAAAACAAGTCTAAGACCATGTATGCTCAGGTACATGATTTTCTTGAAAAATTCTACATAGCATTAAAATATTAAAAAATTTGAATATAATTTACTTTTGATTTGAGGGTTTTTCAACTGAAACCTCGTAATTGAAATGTTCTGCAGCATAAATCAGGACTCAGGATTACTTAACTAAAAAATGGAGATTTTTCAGCTTTTATTAAGATATATGATTGTATCTGCTGCCTTAAAGTTTAAGTATCTAAAGGGAAAAACTATATTTGTGAAAATTAATCTTTATATGCAGATGTTCTCTAATGCTTTTTGATGCTAATATTGAGATTCAAGTAAATTTCAAAAACGGTCAAAATTCAGTTCTTAGAACCATTAAGTAGATGTTTTGGTGAATGATGCTTTTTTTTTTTTTAATACTCAGTCGAGGATATGATATTTGATTTCTAGAGAAAGAGAGAAACCTTGGATTGATTTGGTTGCCTCCTATATGCACCCCAACCAGAGATCGAACCTCCAACCTTTTGGTGTATGGGGTGACACTCCAACCAAGACCCTTGACCAAAGTGTGAATGCTGTTTTTTGTTTAAAGATCACACTGCTCATCTATTGAAAAATAATGAAATGAGATAACAAAAATATAAAATCTGAATCTGACTTGTGAGCTATAGGTTATCCAGTGTTTTTATAAACCAAATAAACTTTTTAATTAGTATAATGTTATGTAAAGCAAATAAACTTAACTTTCTGCACCAAAGCATGATAATAAAGGTTGATTTCACATTGAATTACAGGTTCCTCTGGGCCCCTGCTGAAGATCTATCCTGAAAATTGTGTTTAAGTAACCTTTCTGACAGAGGAAGTTTGTTGCTTCTGTTTATCAAGATGATTACAACACCTTCAAAACATCCAGGAATTCACTTGTCCTCAGAGACATCTTCTCAGTGGAGAAATATGCCCATTCATGCAGTCTTTTTTGACAGCATTCCTTCAGGCACACTTACTCCTGTAAAAGATTTGCTGAAATATCAGAATTCCTTTTTAAAATTGAAGGACCATAAAAAGAATCAGTTCTCAGAAATGACATCTTTTCAACATAAAAATGTATTTCATTCTACCATGCTAGCAGAGCCTAGCACCTCTAACAGTCTTCTTAATATTGATATCAGTGCTATAAAACCCAATAAGAATGGATTAAAAAATAAAACAGACTATGAATCACCAGGAAAAGTATATCAAAGAATGAAAGAAAAATTACTGCGTAATCAGCAAAAACAAGCATCAAGAAACAGTAATTTGTTGGAACCACCAAAAAGTGAAGGCAACAAAATTCTTACACGTAATGGAGCTGAGAAAAGAGTATTACAACATACCTACCTCTGTGAAGAAAAGGAAAACAAATTATTTAGATCAGAAAACAGCTTATTAAGAGGTTAGTTATATTATGTGTTGGTTAAAAAGCTATGAATGTGTTACTCATTGTGTCCAGCACGGTTTTAGATATTCAGGATACAGCAGTGAACAAAATAGACAAAAGTCCCTGCCCTCATGTAGTTATCTCACATTCAGGTGTTAGAGATCAAATACAGTAAGTACTTTTTGTGGTATCATAGAAGAGAATTGCTATGGAAAGAAACATGTAGCAGAATAAGGATGATAGAGTTAGAGCAGGTTGTAATTTTCAGTGCTTCAAAAAGAAGGTGGCGTTTGAGCTGAAAATTTGAAGAAGATGATAGATACAAATAGGTTTATTGGAGAATGAGGAAGGGTGATTCAGACAGGTAATAGCTGGTACAAATGCCCTGAAATTCCTATGTTATGTCAGGAATGTGCCTCATAAATGTAAGGACTAGCTATGAGATTAATGTATCATGAGGTGAGTGTGCAGAGCTGGGGAGATGGGGAAAAATAAAAGGGTCAAATAATGTAGGGCCTTACAGGTAAATATAAGAGTTTGGGTTTTTACTATGAGCAAAATAAGGAGCCATTGGAAGGTTCTGAGTAGAGGAATGACACAACCTGACTTATATTTTTAAAATATCATTCTGGCTGTTAATTTGAAAAGTTATTGCAATAATCCAAGTGAGAGGTGGTGTTGCCTTGGTCTGAGTAGTAGCAATGAAGATAAGAAGTGGTTGGAATCTAGATATATTTTAAAGGAAAAGCCAGTCACATTAGCCCATAGATAGGGTGTGGAATGTAGAGAGATATAAAGGATGACTCCAGAGGCTGGCTTTTGTTGCTTGGTTTTGTTTTTATTATCCAAACAACTGGAAGGATAGGGTGATTGAATTGAAACGGAGTAGACTGAAGGAGGAATGGGCTCAGGGTCTTAGTTATTTTTGTCATGTGAATTTTGATGTCTTTTAAAAATGGAGGTGTAGATATGACTTAGGCTGTTGAAAAAATTGGTTGGAATTTAGGGACGTAGTCCATGTAAGAAAAATATATTTGGGAATTATTAGTACCTAAATGGTCTATAAAGCTATGAAATAAGATGTGATAATCAAGGAGTAAGTATAGAAAGAGAAAACATTAAAGAAAGAGTTTTGAGGCACCCCAAAATTTAGAAGTTAGAACAAGGATAGAAAGTATTGAAGGCCTCTTAGAGGCAGATAAAAAAGGAATAAAACTAGGATTGATACTTTTGAAGCCAAAAGAACAGAAAGCTTTAAGGGGAAAAAAATCATAGCTGTGTCTAATACTGCTAATTGGTTAGGTAAGATGAAGGCTGAGATTTGACCGTTAGATAAGAACGTGGAGGTCATTGGTGACATTTACAAGGTAGTTTTGGTGGAATGGTAGATGCGAAAATGTGATACAAGAGGGTTCAAGAGAATGAGGAGAGAAATGGACAATGAATATAGACAGCTCTTTTTAGGGGAGCTAAGAAATATGGGAAGTGTGGTTTTAAAAGATTTTGTTGTTTTTGATGATTGGTGAAATAACTTTAAATTTAAATTTTTTATTGCTTTTAGAGAGCAAAGAAGGGAGAGGGAGAAAGATAGAAACATCATTGAGAGAGAACATCGATTAACCGCCTTCTGCATGCCCCCCACCAGGGATTTGGTCCACAGCCTGGGCATGTGCAACCTCTTGGTGCATGGGTTGATGCTCAACCACTGATCCACACCAGCTGGGCTGAAATAACATTTTTTTTTATCCTCCCCCGAGGACATTTTTTTCATTTTTGTTCAGATAGAGAGGGAGGGAGGGAGGGGAGGGAGGGAGACAGAGAGAGATATCAACGTGAAAGGGACACATCAAGTGGTTGCCACCTGCACAACCCAACCGGGGCCGCAGACAAACTGTAACCACGGTACATGCCTTTAGCGGGAACTGAACCCAGGTCTCTCTGGACCGCAGGACGACACTCTAACTCCTGAGCCAAACAGGCCAGGGCTGAAATAACATTTTTGTATGTTGTTGGGAATAATCAAGTAGGGGAGGAAAAACTAAGATTGGAATTGATATCCTTGAGTAGCTGAGAGGGAATCTAAAAAAGGTTTGGCCTTAGCTGGGAACATTAACAGATGGATCATCAGTCAAACAAGAAGGAAGGCAGTTGTATGACTTTAGAAATAATCTGAAATAGGAAGTAAAGTCAGTCATCAGCTGAGAGTGAGGGAGTATTGGAAGCAGATATTGAAATTTGAGGAGGTGAAAGTTTGAATAGGAGAGTTGTAGGCTTACATTTTATTTCCTGGGCAACATTAAGGACCTACTTGAGATTTGTGGACATGAATTTAAATAAGACCAACCAGTAAGGTTATGAGTTTTCCTCTCACCCTGTTAGCTGCATAGGTACTGGTGGGAAATAGGCAGGGTGTAGAATTTTATCAGGATTGTAATTTAGCCAAATAGGGTGAAGTAAGAGAGAGAGACAAAGTAGTTGAAGTGTGTGTGCAAGGTGATAACCATAGTTGGCCATGAAATTTAAGTTGGCTAGACAAGGAAAGAGGACCTGAAGGAGGTGAGGAAGTGTGAAGTGCAGATATTGTCGAGATAGTCAGTGGATTTGAGAAAATGGTCTGGAAAGATAGAAAGTGGTCAGAAACGGGGATACATGAAATTGAGATTTTAGTGCGTTAATAAACACATGTTATGTATTATCTTATTTAACCCTTTCAGTAAATGCTATGGTAGATGCTCATTTAATAGGCTAGGAAATGTGACTTATTAAAGAGGTTTTATCTGCCCTGTGTCTCACAGATAATAAGTGATACAGGTCTTTAGACACTAATTCACTGAGCCCCACCGGCAAATACAGATCTTTAGAAAGCCCGTGGTCTTAACTACTACACAATAGATTGTGGGTGCTTTGTTGCATTTCAAAGACAGTGATATATTTAGACACAAAAAGAGTTTTGTAGGGGAATTTAGTCTGGAGGTGGAGGAGTATACAAAAGAAACTGTTTCTAATACAGCCAGGGAGAAGTAAATGAAATATGCCCATTAAAGCACATTTTATATATAAAGTGGAATTAGAGAGAGGAAGAAATAAATAACTGACCGCTTTGAGAATCTGATGACTCTTCCCAAAAAAGACACATTCATACAAAGTTTTGTATGTAGTTTCAGCGATGTTTCAGAGAACCTACATATGGATGTTGGAATCTCAAGTAAATGACACATTATACAGCATATTATATTTGATCAAATTACCTGCTTTTCTTTACTACATTGCCCTGCCATTTCTGTAGAATGACTTAAAAAAAATAGACATTTAGCCTTTTATAACATATCACTATAAAAAAACTTTGTGCCCTGATTGGTTTGGCTCAGCGGTTAGAGCGTTGGCTCGCAGACCAGAGAGACCCGGGTTTGGTTCCTACAAGGAGCACGTTACTAGGTTGCAGTTTGCCCCTGGTCCTGGTTGGGGTCTTGTGGGTGGCAACCAGTCTATTGTCTCTCTTACATCAATGTGTCTCTCTCTTCCTTCCCCTCTATCTGCTCTATCTGAAGATAAATGCAAAAATGTCCTCGGGTGAGGACAGTGGACATGGACAACAAACTGGGGAAAGGGCAGGGAGGGAGGGAAAGGGGGGAATCAGTGGGGGGAAAAGGAGAAACATCTGTAACAAAAATTAATTAATAAAAAAGAAAGAAAAAAAAGCTGACATTTTGATTTTCAAAAACAAAAAAAAAACAAAAAAAAAATTCTTAGCATAATGTAGTTATAGAGAATAGGTTGAAAGCAATAAAAGGGAAAAACTTATGTAACTGTCATATATTACACAAGTATATATACTTTTTTGGTCTGATCATTACTGAATCTAAGTATTTAAAAGATTTTTAAAAGGTTTTGTTTTTTGTTTTTTTTTTAATCCTCACCCGAGGACATTTTTTTCCATTTTTTGTACAGATAGAATATGGGGGGGGCGGGGAGAGAGAAACATCGATGTGAAAGGGACACATTGAGTGGCTGCCACCCACATGACCAACCAGGGCTGGGGACAAACTGCAACCGAGGTATATACCTTTAGCCGGAACCGAACCTAGGTCTCTGGACCGCAGGCCGACGCTCTAACTGTTGAGCCAAACTGGCCAGGGCTAAAAGGCTATTTTTTTTATTCTCAGTGACTAATACATCTCAACTTCTTTCTTTAAAAAAAATTTCAGCGTCAGTCCAAGAAGTTCCTCCAGAACCATCAAAAGATATTTTACTCCTGGTCAAGCCAAAGAGTCAGTGTCAACAAGCAGAGAACTCACCTCTACACAATTTAACTTATGGTAAAGTGCTTTCAGTTTTGTTTGGTTTGGTTGGGGTTTTTTTGGTTTATTTGAATGTATTTTTTAAGGTTCTAGATAATTATTTTCCCTATATAGGTAGTAAGTTTTTGACTGTGGATGAAAGATTAAATCATGATAGCTAGAAGCACTCAGAAAGTCTGCAGAAGCGTGGAACATTCCTAACCTGAAGACTTATTTTTAATATACAGTATTAAATTGTCCTGTTTCTCTCTTTTAATTTTATATGATTCTTCTATAAAGTTTATTTGGCTTTGTATTTTTTGCAGAGCTTCCGATTCTGAACCAAGAACATGAAAATGTTTCACCTGCAGGAGTGTCCAACAGAGCATTAACTGGAGCTCAGTTGGCAAAACAAATTCTTTCAAAGGAGAATACAGGTGTAACCACTAAATTCAAAAAGGACACATTTGTTTTAGAAGGTGTTGATTCTGACTATGAAAAATGCCAAAATACTACTGTTGAGACTCTCAATACTAACTGTGTTTCTATAAAAAATGGCAGTCAATTAATAGTTTCTGATAATGAGGTAACAACAAGAAGGACTTCACAAGAGGAAATTAAGGAAGGATATGAGAAAACAATGCCCAGAGAAACTGATCATCCAGGTTCCATAAATGACACGTGTAAAATTGTGCTTGCAACTCCAAGATTTCGTGCAACAATACCTCGAAGATCAAAAAGATGCATTTCAAAGCTTCCTCCTCCAAGTATATGTCAAACTGCTACAGATGGAGTTAAAAGTAATAAGGTAGGAAAAAACTTGAAGGCAGATGTGTATTTCTGTTTTTATCCCTGTTCTTCAAGAGCTTGAGCGTATGCTCTCTCATTACTGCTATTTAATGTACAGGTAGTGGGTTGAAAGAAAGAAGGCCCAGGTATAAAGTCTTACCTTGCTCTATTATTAGTTGTATAGTCTTCAGCAATTTACTTACTCCCTTCTGGGATGAACACTGATTTTACTATTTTTTTAAATTTATTTTTTCCTGATTCTTGGGTTACTAGTAACAAAACAATTAAAAGAGAAAAGAATTACATATAGCATTTAAAGATTTGAGAATGTTTTCAGTTGTAAAGTAACATAGTGATCAATAAAAGAATTCAGACCATCAAACTATGTTACATTAGGACATTCTCAGAAGAAACTGGAACAGAACAAGTTCAAGGAGAAAGAAACAATGTTAAGTTTACAATTGTTAAAGGTTTATCCATTAATTTGTAAAAGGATGATGGTGGGTGTTTTCCAGAAAGAAGCCAGAGGTCTATATGGTCCTCAATTTCTACCCAGCAGCTCATTAAAATATTAAATAATGTCCTCTTTTGCTCAAAATTCTCCAGTAACTTCTTATCTCAAGAAAACACTAAGCCTTTACCATGGTTTACAGGACTATACATAATTCAGTCCTGTACATATTCAGCCTCATCATATAGAGCTCAACTAATATTCGCTGAACGAATATTTTGACATTTTATATAAGCAGCATGGTACAGAGTTCTAGAGCCAGAATTCCAGTTTTGTAACCCACCTGTGCCATTAACTAGCTGTGTGTGTGAAATGGGTAAGTTAAGCTAGACTTTACAGAGTGTCTTTATAAAATGTAGTTAATAATACCTGCCTTCTAGTGTTATGAGGATAACCTGAGTCAATACATCTAAGGTGCTTGGACTACCTAGTGTTAACTTCTATTTTTAATGCAATCTGACTTATTCTTTGATGTACATATCTCAGGTAGTTCCAAATGTGGAAGTAGGGGGAAAAAAGGAATTTTATTGCGTCTTCCCCAAGTCCTATCTATAATTTTTTAAATGAACACAATTGAGAAGTACACCATTCCATTTTAACATCTTTTTCTGACTCCGCATAAAACTACCAGTGGAACGTGGCCAATGTGGCTCAGTAGATTGAGCATCATCCCATGGGCCAAGGGGTTGCAGGTTTGATTCCCAGTCAGGGCACATGCCCAGGTTGTGGGCTCAATCCCCAGTTGGGGGCGTGCAGGAAGCAGCCGATCAGTATTTCTCTCTCATCGATGTTTCTGTCTCTCTCCTTTCTCTTCCTGTCTCTAAACTCAGTAAAAACTTTTTTTTAAAAAGGTTAATTTAAAAGAAAAACTACAACTGGAGAATTTGTCTTTATATGTAAATTTATAAGTTTATATATAAAGTAAATGGCTTGTCAGATTAGTTATTTTATGACTTTGGGCTACTATCATCAGAAATAATTCTTACATAATAGAAACTAATTTCTTAGCACAGGTGTTCGCAGAAATTTTCCTTTATGGTAGTAGTATTTTATCCTAAAATAAGAAATTCTCTTAACTGTTCAGGTATTTACTTTAGAATAGAATGCTGTTAAATATAGATTAATAGCAATCACCTTTATAGTTTATAGAAAATGGAATGCAACTTCAAATCAACTTTGCCAAAAAAAATTTGTGTGTGTGTGTGTATATGCTATATTAGGGATAAGAGTGATACTGACATGTATACTATACAATTGACTCTTCTCTCCAAGTTATTGGGTCTTTTGATGTTTTAATGGCTGCCTTAGGATTTTAGGTGATCCCCCCGCCCCCCAGTAGTTGAGATATTAGATAATAAGAATATTTAAAGTATAATTGATTCTGGATTATAAAATGACTATGTAATACAACTTCAGTTCAGACTCTCGCCATGCATCTTTTCTGTTTTATTGTTTATAAGAGTTTTTAACTTACTGCTATTTAAAATAGAATGTGATTTTTATATAAATCAGCACTAAGGAATTATTTGGGTGACTTATGAGTTTTTTCTTTTAATTTAACGTAAATTGATTTTGCAGTGCTTATGCTACAAGTAATGCAAAAGTATATATTTTATTTTATGTTTGATTAGGTAGTCCGGTTACAGGAATGGATGATTAAAATAATCAACAGTAACACTGCTATATGTGTAGAAGGAAAATTGGTGTAAGTATAACATTCGAATATTCTTTTGTTGTTGTTAATTCTCACCCAAGGATATTTTTCTGTTGATTTTTAGATAGAGTGCGAGGGAGCGAGAGAAAGAAAGAAAGAAACATCAATGTGAGAGGGTTACATTGATTGGTTGCTTCCCACAACCCCGACTGGTGTGGGGAATCGAACCTGTGACCCTTAGGTCTGTGGGCCAACGCTCTAACCGCTGAACCAAACTGGCCAAGGCTGAATATTTTTTTTTTTAATCCTCACCTGAGGATACTTTTCCATTTATCTTCAGATAGAGAGGGAGGGAGGGAGGGAGGAAGGAAGGAGAGAGAGCAGGGTTTGGGGGGGAGAGATATCGATTAGTTGCCTCCTGCACAACCCTGACCAGGGCTGGGGACCGAACAGCAACTGAGGCATGTGCCCCTGATTGAAATTGAACCTGCTACTCTTTGGTCCAGCGGCCGACGCTCTAACTGCTGAGCCAAACTGGCCAGGGTTGAATACTCTTTTACTAAAAGAAGATACTGTGTATATGAGCTTAAAAAGAGAAGCATGAGAAGTATCATCTTCCTACAAAACAAAGACTGCAAACTAAAGGCAAAAAAGTAAAATGACTATATGTGTTGATTGTAACCAGCTTTCTTGCTTTTGCCATTTAGGTTATTTTTTGAATAGTGACTGCTTAAATTCTACACACAGTGCTTAATTTTTTTCCCAGAGGTTTAATAAGTTGACTGGTATTTGTTGCTTAAATTTATATAGTTAGTTAATATCTACTCCATGCATTTCAGTTCAGCTTCTAAATGCATTTCAGTTCAGCATCTAAATTGGATAACCATACATAAATGACTGATCCATACAAGGAATCAAAATTAATTTAAAACTTTGCCATACAGCTACATATTACATAATTACTGGTACTTTCTGGTTCTCCCTAAGTGAAAATATCAGATGAGGGTTTTGCTTAATTCTGCTAATTTATTAGTACCATTTCCTATTCTTCAAACTCAGTATCTTAGTGGTAAAAAAAAAAGGAAAGAAATTGTTAAAAAAATTTTTTAAAAAAAGCTTGTAATTAAAACAATACAAGATATCACTGTTCAAGATACTTAACCTGGAAGTTTATAAGTTGAGTATGTAAACTCTTTCTTGCCCACTCCATTTCTGCCTGCCTTGTGCCCATTTGCTGAATATCCAAGAGGCAGCGTAGATTGCTTTGGTTGGATTTCCATTGCTGCTGCTTATTGACTGTATGGTTTGGGCAAATTATGTATTTTCTTTCAGTCTCAGTTTTTTCACCTGTATAGTGGTGATAATAATATTACTACCTATTGGGTTATTTTGAGAATTAAATGAATTATATTTTTAAAGTTGAGAAACTGGCCCAGCGAGTGTGGATCAGTGGTTGAGCATCAACCCATGCATCAAGAGGTCACCAGTTCAATTCTTAGTCAGGGCACATGCCCACTTGTGGGCCTAATCCCCAATAGGGGGCTTAGGAGGCTGCCGATCGATACTGATATTTCTCCCTCTCCCTTCTCAACAAAAAATTTTTTTAAAAGATTTAAAAAAGAACTTGAAAACTGAACTTTAAAGTGCTATTTAAGTGTTTATTAAATAAAATTAATACAGTAAAAAACAGAAGGAGAGGTTATATTATATTAAGGGACAATGTATGAATTTAGTCCCATTTGACCAAATGAAAGGAATTTAATGTCTTATTTAGGCTTAGATTTAGTATGTTTATTACTAGCTATTTAATATATCTTCATATTTCATTCTATTTTATATTTATTCTTAGCTTCATTTAAGGAAGTATGGAGAGTAGATTAATGAGTAAATGATTTGAAATTACAGTTTCTTTTTTCCTTGAAACTTCTATTTTGTACTTTCCAAAGAGAAGAATTAAAAACATTGGCTGTGTAGTGAGGGTAGAAAACCCACAAGATTAGATAAATTCAAACTATATAATTGCATGAAAGCTAACATAGTATAGGCCCTGAGAAGAGGATGGGGAATCATTCTTTGGAAATTTAGCATCAGTTAAGGTGGAATTGCAAGCACTGTCAACACCAGGTATTTAGAGACATACCCGGCTTCCTTGCTAATGATATAGTTTATACTAGGGGTATGGTTTGGTCGCAGCACAGTTTCTTGGCATATACTCTGAGATCACATGAGCCAATCAGTTGAGTTCTGTTGCATTGTTTGGCCCTCAAATGTTTTATAATTAGATTAACAATGTTAATTGTAGCTAGGATGCAAATTTATAACTTTCTATTATAAATTGATATACTTATCTATATACATTGTGACTACTGGTAAAATGTGAATATTTTGGCCTCAACTAAGTTATTTTTTCCTCCTAGAGACATCACTAACATATATTGGCACAGTAATGCAATTGTAGAACGGATTGAACACAGCAAACTTAGAACATTATCAGGCAACATTTATATATTAAAGGGAATGATAGACCGGATTTCCATGAAAGAAGCAGGTAATGACTCTGTTAATTGAGTTATTTTAATAAACAATTAACTGTATTTCTAATAGTGATATATATTTTTTACTTTTAATTCAGTGTTTTAAAACTGATTCAATCAAAACTAAAAATAACAGAATTGACAGCATTATGTAAAACTATTTGACAGTTTAAGTCCAGTGATTTTTTTTTTTTTTTTTTTTTTTTTTAAATCAAGTGAAGTTTTCCTTTTTTGGGAAGAATTGCTTTATGAGAACATAATTTAACTCCTTAGGTCCTCTCTTTGTTGAACCTGCCCAGCACAACCCTAGTCTTGGTATAATCTAATTTCCTGCCTGTGACTTTCGCACACCCAAAGTGACTGATGAAAAACACTTCTGAGCAGTCTACTTTTAAATTTATGATTACTAGCAACAAGTTGTGGTCCCTTAGTGCCACTTGGTATCCTACCACATTCCTCTAATCCATTCCTTCTCCTATTCTCCTTAATGACTACTTAATATTTTTACAGACCTCCAATACCTCCTCTCTCCCTCTCTCAAGTGGGGAGATGAGGTGAGGCTGGGAGGGTATGACCTGAGCAATAGGAACAATCAAAACATCTTCTCATATGTGCTTACCTCCTTGCATCTTGATCTGCTTTTATATGGATGAACAGTCCGTGTTTCTGTGTCAGCCTCTCATTTTTACTCTAGCTCCTGTTTTCGCTTTTACTCAAAGATATCACTGCAGTAATTCTCCCTTCTGTTAAAAACAATCACTCTTTTATTTTTTTTACTGGGAAATTCCTCTTTTTTTCAAAAAATGTTTTTATTGACTTTTTTTTTTTTGCGAGAGAGAGAGGAAGGGAGAGAGAGATAGAAACATCTATGTGAGAGAGATATATCTATTGTCTACCTCCTGCATGCCCCCCACCGGGTATCGAGCCTGAAACTGGGACCTCCCAGTCCGTAGGACAACGCTCAATCCACTGAGCCACCCAGGCTGGGTGAGAGCAATTCCTCTTTTAACCACACGTCTTTTAACCATTATTGCTTTTAATTACAGAAAAATAACTCAGATGATTTGTATCTAATTCCTCTTGAGGTTTTTTTTCCCATTTTTCCTTGAATTCTCTTTAATTATGCTTTAATTCTCAATTCTTCACCAAAACAGCCTTTATCAAAGTCAGCAGTGGCTCCCACATTGCTAAATCCAGTTCAAACTTGACACAATTATTCATATTCACTCCTTGAAACACTTGCTAAACTTGGCTTCTGGAATATCATATTCCTATTTTTGCGCTACTCACTCCCTATTCCTTCTTAGTTTCTTTGCTCATTTTCCTTTTTCTTCTTTGCCTCTTAATGGGGTAGGTGAGGGCTAATTCTACACTTAGTGCCATGCTGATTTCTTTTAGGCATTAAATCTTATCTTTATGGTGACAAATGCCAAATTGATATCTCTAACAAAAAATACTGTCCTAGCCCTGGCTGGTTTGGCTCAGCGGTTAAAGTGTCCACCTGCAAACCAGGGAGTCCCAGGTTCAATTCTGACCAGGGGCACGGATCTCGGTTGCAGTTTGTCCCTGGCCCTGGTTGGGGTCATTCAGGTGGCAACTAATTGATGTGTCTCTCTCACATCGGTGTTTCTCTGTCTCTCTCACCCTCCCGCTCAGCCTGAAGATAAATGTAAAAATATCCTGGGTGAGGATTAAAAAAAAAAATACTGTCCTAGCCACTAAACTCATTTTCCTTCTGCCTATTTGACACTCCATTAGGATGTCTACAGGAATCTCAAACTTAATACACTCATGCATCGCTTAATGACGGGGAGGGATACATTGTGAGAAATAGCCTGTTAGGTGGTTTGTTGTGCAAACATTGTAGAGTGCACTTACGCAAACCTAGATAGTACAGCCTACTACATACCTAGGCTGTATAGTGTAGCTTATTGCCCCTAGGCTACAACCTATACAGCATATTACTCTACTGAATACTGTAGGCAAGTGTAATGCAATGGTAAGTATTTGTGTATCTAAACATACAGCAAAAATATGGTATAAAAGATAAAACATGGTACTCTGTATAGGTTACTTGCCATGAGTAGAGCTTGCAGGACTGGAATTTGCTCTGGGTGAGTAAGTAGTGAGTGAATGTGAAGTTAGGACATCACTGTACACTACTGTAAACTTTCATCACTGTACACTTAGGCTATACTAAATTCATAAAAAAATATTTTCAATAATAAACCATAGCTTACTATAACTTTTTAACTCTAACTCTATAAACTTTAATCTTCTCAACTTTTAACTTTTGCAGTAACTTAAAACACAAACACATTGTACAGCTGTTTAAAAATCTTTCTTTATATCCTTATCCTTTATTAATACCTGTAATGCATTGTACTGTGACATCATGACATTACAACATCACCAGATAATACAAATTTTTTGATGTCACAACTACAAAGTCACGAGGCAATACAAATTTTCAGCTCCGTTATGATCTAATGGGACCACCTTCGTATATGCAGTCCACTGTTGATTAAAACGTCCTTATGCAATGCATGACTATATATCTAAAACCTGATCTTCTGCCTTAAATCTGCTTAGTCTGCAGTCTTCCCCCTCTTTCCATGCTTGCGATGGCTAAGCAAAATCTTTGGAGACATCCCTAAATCTTCCATTTCTCTCACACCCACATCTAGTGTGTCAGTATGTTATGGCTTTGGCTCCAAAATATATTATGGCATTATCTCCATAATATATCCAGAACGTAGGCCTCTGTTGACCACTGTGGTCCAGACCTCCTAAGACCTTGTAATCTATGCTCCCCCACTGCCTATTACCCATTTGAGTAGCCTCCTAATACTTACTAGCTTCTCCTCAGTACACTTTTAGTTTTTTTATTTTACTTTTTAATCCTCACATTGATTTTTTAGAGAGAGTGGGAGGGAGGAATGGGGAGAGACAGAGAAACATCAGTGTAAGAGACACATCGATTGGTTGCCTCTCGCTTGCATCGAGCCTGCAATCCAGGTACATGCCCTTGACCAGGAACTGAACCTGAGACCCTTTGGTACAAGGGCTGATACTTTAACCCCTGAACAACACTGGCCAGGGCTCCTCACTTCACTTTAACTATGCAGTTCTCTTTGTTCTACAAATGGACCAGGCACAGTCTTGCCTTTATAGCCTTCATTTTATTCTCTCTGCTTCCAGTGTTTTAACCCCATATTGCTACATGGCTTACTTCAAATCCTTCAGGCCTTGACTCAAATGATGCTATTTCACTAAGAACATCTCTATCTTTTTTTTAAAAATGCTGTCTGCATGAATACACTGATACCTCTATTCCCCCTCAACTGCATAATTTTTCTGCATAGCATCAATGACTGTCTAACAAGATGTTTTACTCACTGGATGCTTTCTGTTTCACACTAGAAGGCAAGTTCTCTGAAGGCATAGATTTTTAATTTTATCAATTGCTGAATCCTCAGTATCCATGGCAGTGCCTGCCTGGCAAATAGTAAATAATATATATATATATATATATATATATTTTAGTGATTTAATGAATTAATGACGTCTCTTTAAAATTCTGGGTTTTTGGATAATTTTGTTTGTTTGTTGTTAAATAGGATATCCAAATTATCTCATAAGGAAGTTTCTATTTGGCTTTCCAGAAAATTGGAAAGAACACATTGATAATTTTCTAGAACAATTAAGGTAAAGTACTTCTAATATTTTAAAAACATACTTTATTGAGGCATAATTTGTATTTGATAAACTGCACCTATTTAGGTATATAGTTCGGTATTAAAAATGCATGTACCCATGTAACCAGTATAAAGTGGTTTTAATTTATTTTTATGGAAAAATGCAGTGCAGTACATTACAGGTATTTTTATGGAAAAGAAGACCTATAATTAGGGTTAGGTTTAGAATTAGAGTAAGGTTTATGGGTAGGGTTAGGGTAAGGGTTAGGATTAGATTTAAAATCAGTGACAGTATTAGAATTAGAGTTATGGTTAGGTTGGTATATTATGGTTGGGGTTAGTGTTATATTTAGGGTTGAGGTTAGGTATAGAAGAGTTTCATTAATTTGTGGATTTAATTTTTTTTTTTTTTTTTTTTTGAGAACCAACATAAGAGGACAAAAACTTGTTGTTTTTAGGGCTTGTGAAAAGAAAAAGAGAAAGGCCAGACAAAAACAGAAAAGTGGACGATTTGTGCCTGGCACAGGAAAATCGATGGGAAATGACGCACGAGTAAACCGAATAGATGGCCTCCAAAAAACCAGCACGACTTACGAGCTTGATTATAATCATTTGGGTATGTTTACTCTCTTCTTCTCTGTTGGTATAGTGGTATATTTTTCCGTGAGCCCCACATTTAATTGTTTACAGGGCATTTAGTATTGAGTTCTTATACGACCCTAGAATTTTTTATTTTTCACTACTTGAGGAGAAACTGCAAAGCAGATAGCTCATAGTCAGCATTCAGCTTACTTTATTAAATGTTACCTTTTAATTAATCTGATATACATATCAGTGAAAGATAATTGTTCTTGTAGTTTCCTAGACCCACGGTATTTAGGCTGCCAGTCTACTTCAAACCTAATGTAAAGGTGCCTATATATTTGTTCCAAATTTTATTCCTGTTAACAGACAAAACAAGTTTGCTTTTATGAAAAAAATGGCATGTCTTGTGTTTTTTTTAATGACCATTGCTATAAAGGTAGCTGGCAAAACTGTTCTGTGCTACCTCTTTGTTGAAACTAATTTGCTTCACATCCCACCCTCCTGCCAAACAAAAGTATGAACATCAATTAAATTACAGCTTTTTCTAAATAATATAGATGAGTAAAAGTTACTAGAATCTCTGGTATAAATTTCTGTTGATTTCTAGCTTAATCTTGTAATGAAGAGCTTTACAGAACTTAAAGAGTTTTGGATTGCTTCTACCAAAAACATGGCACCATATTGGTCATTCCTCTACCCCCACTGCACCCCACGTCCTTGTGTTTGTAGTGCCCCACCCCCTTTGAAACTCTGCTTATCCCTTCTAGTGTAGACAAAGGAATGGATTAAATATGAAGATGATTGCTTGCTCCGAGCTAGCTAAAATTCACTCTTTGTTGTTGCTCCAGTTCCTTCTCAGCCTTTCCGCATTTTATCAAAAGTCATTCTATTGCCTGTAAATTGAAAATGTTGGTTATTGCCTGGCTGGTGTGGCTCAGTGGTTGAGTGTCAACCCATGCATCAAGAGGTCACTGCTTTGATTCCCTGTCAGGGCACATGCCCAGGTTGTGGGCCAAATCCCCAGTGAGGGGTATGCAGGAGGTGGCCAGTCGTTCTCTCTCATTGATGTTTCTATCTCTCCCTTTCACTTCTCTCTCTCAAATCAATAAAGAAGAAAAAAAATTTTTTGATATTGCTTATTGTCATTGCTAGACCTTCTTCAATATTCTGGAGTCCTTGGGTATAGCAACTGCTGTATACTTTTTTACTCCTAAATTTTAAGATTCCTAAATGTATAAATATATATCTCACTTTTATTAATCTTCTTTAGTCTGAGATCTTTTTTATGCTTGTTTTTTGGGGGTTTTTTTTTTTGGTACGTGCCCCTAGCGGAAACCGAACCCGGGACTCTGGTCTGCAGGCCAACGCTCCAACCACTGAGCCAAACTGGCCAGGGATAGTCTTAGATCTTAACATCTCTCTATGCCTTCCTTTCTCTTAGAGCACTGTTTTGCAGGAATTTTTGATTTGTAAATGTTACTGGTAAAGTGTTTGAAGATACAAATGTAAAATATTAGAGTTTGGTAAATTATCTTAACATGCCAGCTGTGTCCATAGCAAAATCGTTCCACAAATGTTTTATTATTATTATTATTATTATTATTATTTTCTTCATTGATTTTAGAGAGGGGGGGGAGGGAGAGAGAGATAGAAACATCGATGAGAGAGAACATGGATGTCTCTTGCTTGCCCCCCGCCCCCCGGGGATTTGGATCACAATCTGGGCGTGTGCCCTGACTGCGAATCAAACCAATGACCTCTTGGTGCATGGGGCGATACTCAACCACTGAGCCACACCAATTTATAAAAAAAAATTTTCTTTATTGAGTTTTTTAGAGAGAGAGGAAAGGAGAGAGAAAGATAGAGAGAGATAGAAAGATGGATGAGAGAGAACATAGATTGGCTGCCTCCTGTATGCCCCACACTGGGTATTGGACCTACAACCTGGGCATGTGACAACAGGCAACCTCTTGGTGCATGGGTTGATGCTCAACCGCTGAGCTACACTGGCTAAGCTCCACAAATATTTTTAAAGCACCTTCCATGACCTTGATCTGAGTTAGCTGTTAGCAGCTTAGAGATGAATAAAATGAGATACTTTCCCTTTGGAAAGCTCAGGTTAGGGGGCAAATATTACTGGATTCTGTTTTGGATGTATCTTTTTTCTAGTGTGATTTATTAGATCTTTGTTTTATAAAACTGTTAAGAGAGTGTATGTCTTCATATTACATAAGTTATTTTGAGTGGTGCTAGTTGGTGGTGGTGTTTTTATTATCATTATTGTTATACTTTTTATGAGAAAACCACTGAAATAAAACAAAACCACGTCTAACAGTAAATAACTAAGGTTATGTGAAGGCACCAGCCAATGATAATTTAAGATAAGATTGTGTTGTGTGTATTTTAGTGATTCACCTAAAATGTGATTTTGCATACTTAGTGCTATAGTCTATATATCATAATATCAGCCTTCTTTACTATACTGGAATAACCTCAGAGTAAGGACCGTTCATTATGTATCTTCGAGTACTGCTTCTAGAATAATAAAAGTGTCTTCATAGTTTGATGACTCCTTTTTAATTTATCTAGAATTTCAGCTCAATAACTGTTAAGCCACTATTGTATACTATATAATTTGGTGTTGCTTAAAATTTTAATTAGCATAGATTTAGTTGTACATTGGTGTACATAAACTAATTGAAACATAAGAATTCAATATACATGAATATAAAGGAAAATAGAGTTATTAGCTTTCTGTTTAATTGACACAGAGTTAGGATAAGCAGGAATTTGTATTTCCAAAATGGTTTAATGCTTCTCTTTTGCCTTTAGATGTGACAAAGGAGATCCAAAACAGATAGTAAGGACTAATATGGCTGTCCATTTTTTCTTTTTATTTAAGGATAAACATGATTTGAACAAAACATGGCCCTATGTAGAGTGATTCTGTCCAAATAAAACTGCCTTATATCATAATCCAATTTAAAATATTTGTGACATTGGATTAGATTTTTTTCCAAAGTGAATTATTAATGTGGAAGAGCAGCTAATCTTTTATATAATCATTTGTCAAAATCCCATCTTTGTACTCATAGAACTGAGAAATAGTAAACACAGTCGGTTGCCAAGAGCTACAGAATTAAATATTTGCCAGAGTAATCACCAAAATAAACCACCATTAAGGTTTCCAGATGACCAAATAAAGAATACTATTCAAAATGGAGGAGGAAATGACTTACCTAATCAGGTAAGCTTTTATTGTACACTATACTGGGGTAATGTGATACTACTGAAAAGGTTTGGGACCAAATCAGAAACCATGGATTCTGTTTGTTAAGTATTGCTTTTCATTAGTTAGGCACTGTAGGTAAATGTCACGGTATTTATTTTCCCAGTGTCTCATTGGAAGAGTGTAGGCAACAGTAACAAAGGGTTTAAGCTCTTAGAGTAAGGTTTAAATAAACGAGATAAACACACACACACACACTTTATAAATGACAGTATTAAATCAGTTAAGGAAATATGTGAGAATGGGGATACCTGGAGCAAGTACCTGGAAATGTGTATGCTTGATTCATACTGTGAAAATGCTTGAGGTCATGTTTTTAGATACTATTTGTTTTAGTAAAAAGTTATCTTTTGATTTTGAAGGAATTGATTGAAAAAAAGGAATATAAAAAGTTATCTTCCAACAAACTCAAAAATTGTGAAAGAAGAACAAATAAAAACATAATTCAAAGTCAGGAGCAAGGTAATATGTCTTTAATTACCTTATTATTTTATAATAAGTAGAAAGCTATTTGCAAATTATTAATATAATAAAAATGATCTTATAAATTTCCAAATCTGAAATGGTAGGCCAACTATATTAATGGTTATAAATGTTTGGTGTTATTTTTTTTTTATTATAGAAGATGATTTACAAAATAAAATATTATTTTAAATACCAGGTTCACTTACAGGTTTGCCTCCTTTAGTATAGGTACCTTTAAATAATTCTGTTTAAATCACTAAATATATATATCATTGTAAATGTGCTTCTAGTAATGTTTAAAGATGGAATCCTTTTATGAAATTGTTAATAAGCCATAATTTAGTTTTGTGTAAGTGTGGATTTTCAGAGTGATTGCATTGAAATCCTGCATGCCAGAATGTATAGAACCTTTTCTTTGTGGTTTAGCAAGTTTATAATTTATATTGAGTTAAATCCATCAGCTTAATAGCATTTTTTTCTATTTCTTATAAATAAAAAAATGAAAGTGGAGAACATTTATAAGTGTGTAAAAAGTAGACTGGAGAGCAGTAATACTACTTAGACTACCAAATTCATATGACTTATTTTTATCCTCACTCGAGGATATTTTTCGATATTTTGTTCAGATAGAGTGGGAGGGAGAGAGAGAGAGAGCGAAACATCGACGTGAAAGCGACACGTCGAGTGGTTGCCACCCACACGACCCAACCAGGGCCGGGGACAAACTGCAACCAAGGTACGTGCCCTTAGCGGGAACCGAACCCGGGCCTCTCCGGACCGCAGGCTGACGCTCTAACCGCTGAGCCAAACCGGCCAGGGCTCATATGACTTATGTAAGAGGATCCAGAGTAGGCTGACTCTTGACTCAAATTATTTAATTAAATTAATACAAAATGCTTAGCTCAAAATTGGAAAGTTTAAAATTTTTAAAATGCCAATTGAACATTTGAATCATATTTATATGAAGAATTAGAAGAAAACACTTCACTCATTAGTGAAGATATGTAATTCCACTAAGAAGTCTTGTGAAAATGTTCTTGCTTTTGATTAGTACCACTTCATGAATTATAATTTAGAAGCTTCTTTTCTTTTTTTTTCCAATGTCACATAATATATATAGGTTGTTGTCAGTATGTCACTGTGATTATCGGTGTGTAATTTATAATTTGTACCTATTTATAATTACAACCGAATAATTTAAAGTTAGAAACTAAATTAGTTTGGCTTCTGGTTTCTTAAGTTTCAGATTTGAAAATTTCTAATTTAAAATTTGCTTTCTCTAACTAGTGACATGGTATAGTAAGGACTCGAAAGTTCTGGTTTGGTTGCAATTCCATAATTCATAGAGTTGGGGGAGATTTAGCAAAAGAGTGTCTTTTTGGCTACCATCAGGGATGAGAATGAGGCCATGCAAATGGAGTTCCATGTTCTTCTAATTCCCTCCTTAACTAACACAGCTTCTATTTCATATGTAAATACCTACTAAGGTTTTAGCAACCCAACATATATTTATTTAGGATCTACTATATATGTGAAACACTCTGAACTACCTCCTGCTAAAAAATTCAAAAATGAAGACAGAGTTATTAAGTTTTTTCTTGTTGTTTTCAGTCTAGTTGAAAGATAAGACAAGTGTAACTATGCAGGGCCCATTGTCAAACATGACATTATTTTACAGTATTCTGGAAATTTGAAAGAGCTTTCGTTCAGTTAGAGGGGATCAGGGCAAAGTTTGTAGACTAGGTTGGTTAGAAAATAGAATTGAAGCAGGTAGTGATTTGGTTTGTAAATGAGTGAAGGAAACTTTCCAAGTAGAGTGAAGGTTGAGAATTAAGTATTGGGAAACAGTGGTCTCACGGACATAGAATATGGTTCAAATGTAAGTACAGTGAGAGAACTGTATTGAAGGCTGGTAGAGTTTATATGCACACGCGGTAGACTATGAGAAGTCATGGACAGGTTGGTATAAAAAAAATTAGGTTTTTTTTTTTTGAAGTTGAAGGGGCAGTGATCTGAACAGACTGGTGCTTCAGAAAGATTAATATGACATTGTGGGCAATGGAGTTTGTTGAGGGCGGAAACAGTATATTTTATTTGTGAAGATAGTTTTTCTATACTTTGTTAGTAGCTAACTCATGATTTCGATCTTTCGTTTTATTTTATGAAATTAAAGAGCGAACAGAAGAATCGAATGTATCCATTGATATTATCATCTCAGGGAAATCAACCGTCTCAGACAAAGAAAGAAAAGATATGGCTGCTAATCAGAAGGAAGTTTATGTTGTAGTAACACCACTTAAATCTAAAAAGGTGATAGAGCAAAAATGCAGGAAGTATAATGTGTCCTCTGATACCATTAAAGCAGTAACAGATTTTGTAGTGCCAAATAATCAAAAAGAAAATGAATCAGACTTAAATGAAACTACACATCTAATCAATACTCCCAGAAAGACATTAAAAAATGCATTTGAGTGTGATGTGGGTCATAAAAGTGAAAATAAGGAAGATTGCATTGAACGTGATATACTCACTGTCAACCAGAAAATAAAAATACCTAGTTCTAAAAAGAAACCAAAAGTCACCTCTGACTTTAAGAAAAATACAAGGTTATCAAAATTGAAGAAAATTGAAAATCAAGTAACTATGTCATTTTGCAAGCATCAGTCCTCAAATATGTCTGCTGACAAGAGTGAAACAGAAAAGAAAATTAGAACAAAAGCTAGGAATGCTAAGAAAACCACAGCAACAAATACCCAGGAAACAGTAGTTCAACCAAAAAGAAGCAGGAGGAACACCACGGGAAAAATCCCATTTATTTCTGAATCTGAAACTGAGGAAAGTGAAACTGAACTTCATATTAAAAAAAAGAAAGCTGGATGTTCAGCTAAAAAAAGTTGTCAGAAATCTGATATTGGGAATGAATTTCCAATTCCTGACAAAATGGGATCTGATAAGACAAAGAGGGATTCCTTAGAATGTTTACCTGGTTTAATTCAGGATGAAGAATGGAATGAGAAGGAATTACAAAAGCTTCATTGGTAAGTAGTTAGATTTGATTCTGAAATGTCTACAATGGCCACAAAATAAGACATAAACAACTCCAATGAGGGACTGATTAAATGATTTCTAATAATTAAAATGGAATGTGTCATCTAAAAAACACATAGAGAGAAATTACAGTTTATACGGAAAAATGGAGGGAAAATATAGCTGCCAACTAGATGCTACTTTGTGGCCATCTATACAGTAAAGATATGAGGAAAATAAAAGTGAGCTGCTTTTCTTTTCAAATACACTCCCTACCCCCACCCATCCGTCTACCAAAGAAAGTTAACTATGTGAGGGGATGGATGTGTTAATTAGCTTGATCGTGGTGATCATTTCACAATGTATATGTATATCATGATCTTCTGTAGACTTTAAATATATATAATTTTACTTGTCAATTATACCTCAGTAAAGCTGGGAAATATATTTCAACACAAATGCTGCTCTCTCATAGCTTCACATTTTAAGAAATATTTTATAATTAACCATTATAAAACCTTCAAACTTACAGATTATTTAGTAGTCCCCACCCCCATTTATGGAGGAGAAAATAGTCTCAGAAATTAGGTGATTTTTCTAAGGTTTCATAGTTAGTGCTGCTGATAGAACTGGATTTGGCTACATAGACTTGACAAGCAGTATCAGTAGTCTAGTATTAGATGCCAGAGCATAGTTGAGCAATAGAGAATGAATGGGAGAATGAAGACAATTTACGTGGATAACACAAGAAATTTGGCAGTAGTGGGAAATAGAAAGTATAGGTAATAGAAGAAGATGTATGTTTGGTTGTTTGCTTAAACAAATTAAGATCACTCATGCCCGAGTATGGTGGTTTGCTGATGGAAATGATGTAGTAGAAAGAAAGGAAGATATGACTGATAAAAGAAAGAAGGATAACATAGGAACATACCACCTTCAGTGTTCCACTCCCTGTGTACTCCTGAACCTTACAACATTTAGAATTCATTTTCAAATTTGCCTTGAAATGCTCTTTGTAAGGTGTCTTCTGCCACTATGCTCTTCCTTTTTCACTTGCCTTCAAGCAGAGAGGGTAATATTCATTCTTATTTTCCAATGTTTTTGGTTTGGCTTTCTTCTCAGTGATCTTTTCCTTCCATTGTCTGCTGGAAATCGCTACATAAGTTTTGCCTACATCTCTAAATATATCAAAAGCCAAACTTATTTCCCTTGCCCTGTACACTTTGCCTGAAATTCCTATTTCTGAAAATGTAATTTTTTTTTTTGGTACGTGCCCCAAGTGGGAACCGAACCCGGGACTCTCTGGTCTACAGGCCGATGTTCCAACCGCTGAGCCAAACTGGCCAGGGCTGAAAATGTAATTCTTTAAGTCAACTAAGTTTAAACTCTATCATTGATTTTTTTTTTTTTTCTCCCCTTTCTGATCTTCCTTTTTCCTTTTTTTTTTGTTTCTTTTTTTTTTCTGTTTCTTTTTTTATCTTTATTGTTGAATGTATTACAGTTGTTCCTTATTTTTCCCCATTGACACCCTCCTCTCCACTCCCACCTCCCTCCTGCCTTTTCCCACACTGTTGTCTGTGTCCATTGTTTATGCATATAAGTTCTTTGGTTTATTTCTTCCCACCCCCCAACCCCCTTCTCTTTGAGGTTTCTCAGTCTAGCAACCAATTTGTTCTTCTTAATCCCTTGACCTTTTTCACCCATTCCCCCAAACCCCCTCCCATCTAGCAACCAACAAAATGTTCTCTGTATCTATGAAAATGTTTCTGTTCTGCCTGTTCATTTTGTTTGTAGATTCTATTGCCGATAGATATGTATTCGTTGCCATTTTGTTTGTTCATATATTTTATCTTTTTCTTCAAAAAGACCCTTCAACATTTCATATAATAACGGTTTGGTGGTGATGAACTCCTTTAACTTTTTCTTGTCTGGGAAAGTCTTTATATGGCCATCGATTCAAAATGACAGCTTTGCAGGATAGAGTAATCTTGGTTGTAAAGTTTTGCTTCTCATCACTCTAAATATTTCTTGCCACTCTCTTCTGGCCTGCAAGATTTCTTTTGAGAAATCAGCTGACAGTCTTATGGGAACTCCCTTGTAAGTGACTAACTGCTTTTCTCTTGCTGCTTTTAAGATTCTCTCTTTGTCTTGAACCTATTGCATTTTGATGATGATGTGTCTTGGTGTGGGCCTCGTGGCATTCATCTTGTTTGGGACTCTGTGCTTCCTGGACTTGTATGTCTGTTTCCTTCACCAAGTTAGGGAAGTTTTCTGACATTATTGTTTCAAATAGGTTTTCAACTTCTTGTGCTCTCTCTTCTCCTTCTGGCACCCCCAAGATGCGAATGTTGGCATGCTTGAAGTTGTCCCAGAGACTCCTTACACTATCCTCATTGTTTTGGATTCTGTTTTCTTTTTGCTGTTCTGATTGGGTGTTTTCTTATATTCCAAATCAATGGTTTGCTTCTTGGCTTTACCTACTCTACTATTGAATCTGTGTAAATTATTTATTTCAGTTAGTGCCTCCTTCATTTCTGGCTGATCTTTTTTAATGCTCTTGAGGCCCTCACTAAGTTTATTGAGCATCCTTATAAGCAGTATTTTGAACTCAGCATCTGTTAGGTTGCTTATCTCCATTTCACTTAGTTCTTTTCCTGGAGTTTTGTTCTGTTCTTTCATTTGGGGCATGTTTCTTTGTCTCCTCATTTTGGCTGCCACTCTGTGTTTGTTTCTACTTAACGAGAGGTATGGGGCTCACTGAGACCAAATGCTGCTTGCTTGAAAGAATTTAGGAAAACCTGAAGCAGGATCCATGCCAGACCAATCCTATGGTTAAGCAACTGGCAACAGCTTGGGTGGGCCTGAAAGTTGGGCGGGGCGGGACCTCAGGGAGTCACCAGGGCGGGGCCACCAGTGTGAGCCAGGATGCTGGAGTCCCAGATATGGCAGCTGTCTGCCGCCTCAGGGAAGGGCTCACCAGAGGAACAAAGGCCTCTGACAGCACATTGTCCTGGAGAAGGCTGCCTCTCCAGCCCTTGCTCCAATGCCAAACAGCTCAGTTCTTCCCTGTATGTCTCTGGCGCCCCTCGAGCTGCCTCCCGTCCAAGCTTGGAGCAAGTCCGAGTAAGTCTGTGCGCGGGCCCTTTAAGGAGCTGCCTGGGCTCCAGCTACCTCAGCCTCCCTGAGCCTCAGTTCCCGCTGGTTTTTCCAGCCAGAGGTTATGGGGACTTCTCTTCCTGGCACTGGAACCCTGAGCTGGGCACCTGGTATGGGACAGGGATCCCTCAGACCTCAGGGAGGACCTTCCCAGCCGAGGTGTCCTCCTGATTTTTTATCCGCCACCTCCGCCCGTCCTACCAGTCTCGGCTGCTGCTTTAATTCCGTAGTTGTAGGACTTCCATTCAGCTTGGTTTCAAGTGGTTTTGAATGATGGTTGTACTGTAGTTTAGTTGTAATTTTGATGTGGTTGTGGGAGGACGCGATACCACGTTTACCTACACCGCCATCCTGACCGGCAGTCTGATCTTCCTTTTTTCTTATTCCCATTCTGTTAACTTTTTTAAAAAAATTATTTTCCAGGGAGGTATAGATCTTTTCACAGGGTAATTCCATCTGCACCCCTTTTCTTGAGACTACTCTTTTTTCAGATTGTTAATGCCTTTACCCTGAACTATGGAAGTAGCCTTATATTTGAACTTTGTTCTTTTTGTCTATGTAATCTGTTTTATACATCTCTAGATTAGTCTTAATGTATAAGTTGTGGTTCTGACATCAAAAACCTTCATTGCATTCTTATTAATCTTCAGATTATTTAGAGCTTCTTCTGCCTTGCACTGACAGCATACAATATATTGACCTCAGTTATTCTTTCAGCTGTATCCCTCAGCTTTTCCTTATAATAAAGGTTCTCAGCCTTGGCTGTACATTTAGATCATCTAAGGAGATTTTTTTGATCTTTGAACTCCAGGGATTCCCCTTCCCAGTGAGAGGGAGTAAACACACTCCACTCTGCTGCTTCTACTGTGCAGCTATAAAACCAAGACTGCATGCTGCAGCTTTTTGCTGACCCAGGAAGGTAATAGTAGCAGGTCCATTGGGGAAGACTAAACTTTAAGTGATACCAAACTGGAAGTGAATTTCCAGTTTTTCCTGTGGTACTACCCAAACTAAACTCAAGGCTACCTAACATCTGGAAGTGAGCTCTGGAGTACAACAGAGGTAGGGGAAGCCCTCCAGTTCTGGCTTGAGAAGCAGGAAAGGGGGCTAATGCTCAGAAACAGTAGAGAAAATGCCCAGTTCTCTTTTTCTCCGGTCTCTTATACCCCAGTTCAATGTAGTCCTGCAGAGATGAAAATCACAGCATCTGGGGCCCACACATACCTAAAACTCTGAAAGTGGGGAATCTTCCTCTCCAATACGAGAAGTAGAGGTTTAAAGAGGGTGAGGCAAATCATTTTGTGCTTTTCTCTCTGCTTGGCACTGGAAAAAGAGATGCAGTTGTAAGAAGTGTGCAGCAAAGCTAGATTAACTAAAGGCCCCAGCTTTTTGCCAGACAACCAAAAACAGGAACCCTGAGGAACCCAAAATTGCAGAGGGAGGAGCTAACTAAAGCTGTTTATGAACTTTTGGGCTTATCCCTGAGAAAGCTAGAGTGGCTATACTAATACCTGTGAAAGATTTCAGTAAGAAGAAAATTATGAATGATAAACAAGTACTTTACAAAATGATAAAGTGTCAATTCACCAGGAAGATGTAACAATCCTACGTGTGTTTGCACCTAAGAACAAAACTTCAAAATACGTGAATCAAAATCTGACAAAGGAAAGGACAGAACTAAAAAGATAAGTAAATTTACAATTATAGTGGGAGATGTCAGTGCTCTTCTTTTGGTAATGGATAGAACTAGTAAATAGGAAATTGTCACGGATATGAAAGAACTGAACAATACCATCAACCACCTATTTAACTATTTAATATTTATGAAACAAGCCACCCAATGTGGGGGGCTAATTCGAAGGGCAGGTAGAGCGTCAAGGTAGAACATCATGTTTACTAGGTCATAAAACAGATCTTAAGTTTAAAATAACTGATGTCATACAAAGGTGGTTCTCTGACCATAATTGAATTAAACAACAAACCAATTAAAAATAACGAAATTTTCCAAGTGGTTGAAAATTTAGCCCATTGCAAAAGTCCAAGGGTCAAAGAGGAATTTTCAAGGGAACATACTCTGAACTAAACAAAAACGAAAATATATCAAAATTTGCAGTGTACGCCCGGAAATTTATAATGATGTGTGTTTTTGTGTTTTTATTTATAATTTATCTTTATTGTTTAAAGTATTACTGATGCCCTCCATTGTCCCCCTCCACCCCACTCCTGCCCACCCCGCCCCACAACCCAGGCTATTTTTTAAGACTTTTTAGTTGATTTTTAGAGAGAGAAAAAAGAAACATTGATTGGCTGCCTCCTGCATGCCCTAATGGGGGTCGAGCTGGCAACCTTTTAGTACACGATGCCCAACCAACTGAGCCACACTGGCCAGGACTAGGGTGGTTTTACTGAGCTTATCTCCTGATTTCTGTGGTGCTTTCTGCATAAATTAGTTGTGGTGTATTATTGATGAATGGACTACTAGTAGTAAAATGGAAGAACTATTGATACTTGTAACAACTTGAATTAATTTCAGAGGCATTATGCTAAGTGAAAAAAAGATCAAAAGGTTACATGCTATATGCTTCCATTTATTGTATATAAAATCCTGGAAAAGACAAAGAAAACAGATCAAGGACTGGCAGTTGTTATAGTGAATGACAACAAAAGGGTAGGTGGCACTAGGGACTTTTTTCAGAGCTCCAACTTGCAGCCATTCCTTTGAAATTTACCATACTATAAACATGATCTATTTTTCATGTCTTAATTATATGTCGTTTCCTTATCTTCATTTCTTTGCAAATATAGTTGCCTCATTTTCACCTTATATTTTTATCCATCAAATTTAATCTCAAGTCACCTCCTTGTAACCTTTCCTTGTCATCTTCTATTTCAGTCACCCACTCAGATATAATGTAAAGTATTGCCACCCCAGACCTACTAAATTGAAATCTGAAGGGGTACAGTCTATGAACCTTCGCTTATTTGCTTGCTTGTGTTTTTGCTATAAGATCCTCATGTGATTTTTTTTTTTTTTTTAGAGAGAGAGAGAAACTGATCAGCTGCCTTCTACACTGCCCTAACCAGGGATCGCACCTGTCTCCTTTTGGTGTATGGGGTGACACTCTAACCAGTTGAGCTACACCGGCCAGGGCACTCCTCAAATGATTCATAGTTGCAGCCCACTGCTTTGTATGCCACATCATGCTTATAACCTAGTAGGATAGACAGATATTTGGCAAATAATCACTGTAAGAAATTTATGAGAATGTGAATCAGAGAAATCTGACTTGGCTGATACTTGAACTAAGATCTAAAGGATAACCCTAGCCGGTTTGGTTTAGCGGTTAGAGCGTCGGCCCGTAGACCAGAGTCCCGGGATCGATTCCCACTAAGGGCACATACCTCGGTTGCAGTTTGTCCCCGGCCCCGGTTGGGGTCATGTGCGTGGCAGCCACTCAATGTGTCTCTCTCACATCGATGTCTCTCTCTCTTCCTCCCTCTCTCTTTCCCTCTGTATCTGAAGATAAACACAGAAGTGTCCTCGGGTGAGGATTAAAAAAAAAAGATCTAAAGGATAAACAAGGATTATTTAAGCCAAACATTTATGACAAGTACATTTTAAATAGAATTTAAAATAGAAATTTGTAAAAGTAGAAAGGAAAAACATAGTTAGAAATATTGAAAGAAGGTCAATTACTAGAATACAGAAAGTGAGGGAAGAACAGTACAGGATGAGACTGGAGAGTCAGGCAAGGAACATGGAAGGTGGTCTTAAGTATTTTGGTTTTTATGTTAAAAATGAAGTGAGTTTTAAGTAGGACGAGTGGCATGATTAAATTTGCCTTTTAAAGTTATCTGGAGGAGACATGTTAATGAAAGACTAATCTCTTATTACATGTATTAAGTATTTTTATTATGACAAAAGAACCCTTATAGGCAGTTCTAGACTTAAAAATTATCTTATGCACACAAATAGGGGGACTTGAGCTCCCAAATCTTAGTGATTGATTATTCAAAAGAGTAGATCATTCATTAACTGTGTTTAATACCCACAAGTATTCTCCTTTTATGCGTGGAGTGAATGGTATTCTGTTCACAAGAGCTGATTTCTTAAATTTTCAGGAATCCTACAAATTAACTCATTAAAAAATAAATTTATTACAAGTGATAATACTCTAAACTCACCACTTCCTAATTAGTTTAGTACATTTTATTATTTATACTCTTCAGGTTCTTTACAACTATTATACCTGTATGGTGGAAATTCTGTATAATTGTGTGCCATGCACATTTCTTTCTTCTCATACAGCGATATGTTGGTAGCCTGAAGTCAGCCATATTAGGGCTATTCACAATATGGAAATTTGTAAAGAAGGACTTCTTAACCCCAGAGAGATGGTTGTTAAAAAATTTATCAGTACAACACTGCATAGGTTAATTGATGAGTTAAATAGATTTTTACTGGCCAAACTGTCAGCCCTAACCACAATATATCAAATCTGTTCAAGAGGTGGGGTAGTGCAATAAAGGTGTACTGGGTTCTACATAAGAATTATAAATGAACTTTTAAGAATTATATGAACTATAAGAATTATAAATGAACATACTTTTAGAATGTAACTTATTTGTTAGAGAACTACCTTATATTGTCTTAGGTGTTTTTTTTCTATTTCAGTTCCCTTAAGTATTGTTATCTAAAATACTATGTTCTGTAAACTATAATGCTATAATGAAAACAAGCATGACACTTTTTAAGAGTTTGTAACCTAGAATATATATGAACTAAGAGCTCATCTTCCAGTATATTTAGCACCAGTAATATTTGAGCAGCAGTATAGAAAAGTTACTTGTGCTAGAGTTCCCCAAAAGATCAAATCATTGATTAGTTGGACTTAAGGAAGAAATGTCTTAAGACTGGGGATGAGCCTGGCCAGTGTGGCTCAGTGGTTGAGCGTCGACCCATGCACCAAGAGGTCCCTAGTTCGATTCTTGGCCAAGGTTGTGGGCCAAATCCCCAGTGGGGGGCATGAAGGAGGTGGCCAATCAATGTTCTTATCGATGTTTCTATCTCTCTCTCTAAAATAAAGAAAAAAAAATTTTTAAGACTGGAAATTATTTTTCAGATTAAATAGATTAAATAAAATACTACACCTAGTATAGATATGTTAAATTACGTCTTCATATTTTACCACTAGAATAAGTTATTGAGTATAGGGAGTAGTATCTTCCAAATGATAGTTTTCTAGAATGATTTTGGTATAATTCCTTTAGCTCAGTAAAAGATTTAGTAATATGCCTTCAGGTTACTTTTCTTTATTTGGTTTTCTTATTCTTTAACTGGTTTTGGCTTTCCATAGTGCTTTCTCATCTCTTCCCAAGCACAAACCTGGTTTCTGGTCAGATGTAGCTATGGCTGTAGGTTCTCGATCTGCTCAAGAATGCCAGAGGAAATACATGGAAGATGTCCAAGGAAATGGATCCCAGAAACTTGTCACTAAGAAAAATCCAGTTTATCCCAAAGGCCAAAAAAATGGTAACCTTTGTAGTAAATAATTTTTACCTAGTTCTCAGTATCAATTTCTAATCACTCACTAGATATATTTTATATTTATCTATATGTGTTTTATTTTAGCTATTTTACAGTTTTAAAGGTAGAAAGAACTCCAAAGATTATCTGTTTACTTTTGAAATCTTAGTTAATTCCATCAATATTAGACTTAGCAGCCTTGTGCTTTGAGTTTGTTCTAGGAAATCTGCCGTTGGATCCAGAAATTTCAGTATCTGGATTATTGTTCTAAGGGTCTAATTTAATTTCAGGCCCCTAGCAATTAATAAGAAAATTCAGAATAAATTTAGTTTTCATGGCCCCCAGGAGTACACACTTCTGCCCAAGGTTTATGCCAGAGAAGTCCTATTCTACACTTTGGAGAATATCCAGTATCCCTGTCCTAATTAAATGTGGCTTATATTTTCACAAAATCAACAAATTAGGCATCAGTAAGAGGAGTGTGGGAGGTAACCTTTCTCACAAGATAAAGGCTTCTTCAACTGTACTCTGCCTAATATTACATGTATTTTCTACATGAGTATCTTGTGGGCTAATCATTTTGCACAGATAGATCCCAGTGTAGAAAGGATTACTTGTTATAGAGAAAACTTATATTAATAACAGAAACTGAATTTACTTAATATGAATATACAATTCAGATTTTACAAAGTTTGTTAACTTTAGAACAGTTATTCTAAATGACTAAATTCTTACCAAAATGTTTTGCTGACGCTTAAGGCAACAGAGGTGGTACAGATAAGGAGCAAACTATTAAGATAACTGCGAAAATGGGAACTCTTAAAAGGAAGCAGCAGATGAGGGATTTTCTGGAACAGTTGCCAAAAGATGACCATGATGATTTTTTTAGCACAACACCTTTGCAGAAACAAAGAGTACTGGTAAGAGTCTTGAATGCATGAAATCATTATTTTCTTCATGTTAATTTTTATATCTCTTATTTGTATATATGGTTACTGTTCATCACTGATATTTAGGCCAAGGATTGATAATCTCCACACATGTGACTCAAGTCTAGTATAGGAAGCAGTCTGCCAGTACATGCCATTCTCATCATTGTCCAGAATCTATCCTTTAGTGGGGTTCAAAGATAATATTTGTAGAACCAAATAGAAAATCCAGAAATAGGCCAAATGTATACATTTAAATTTTTATATGCAATAAGGCAAATTCTTTTTTAAAAACTGATAAGATTATTACCTAATGCATAGTAAATTACCTACTGTGTAATAAAACAATGACAGCACAAGACTGACAGAATTGAAGGTAAAAATTTTTGTAGTGTGAAAAATCACATAACTAAAAATCTTCATGATTAGGATAAAATATTTGCAGCAAATAAAGCCAATAATATTTATGATGTAAAGAACTCATTTATGTTACTGGAATATAAAAAGGGTCAAGATCACAGAAAAATGGGTAAGAAAATTTCAAAAGGCTGAATGAACTGGTCATTTTACTTGTGATCAGAGGAAAACAAAGTAAATTATATGTGCGTATACTTTCTAAATTACAGAATCATTTAAAAAAATAAGATATCCACTAACAAAAAGAGATAGAGATATTGATAGAGTCATATTACTAGCAGATACAGAGTTGAGTTATAACCTTTTAGAAAGCACAGCAACATGAGAGCCATAAAGATTAATTCTACACATGGGAGTTTATCCTAAAAAATGGAACAGAAGCCAAAAATCTTCAAGATATTCATTGCAGGTTTATCTTTTACAGCAAAACAACAACAACAACAACAAAAACAATCAATCCATATATCCACTAAGAATGTACTTCATAAACATAGTAAAATACTGTATAACTATTAAGTGCAAATTTGAAACTATCTCTGTAACCTAAATATAAATGTTAAGAATATTAAGATTAAAGTAATGCGAAGATAGATGGATCTAGACAGCTGGACTATTAAGTATAAAATCTGAGAGCTTTTAGTGAGCTAGAATTAAGGGTACTTTGCATTCTACCCATTTTTTAAATATTATTAAATCATCTCCAAATTTTAAAGGCTATACAATGCTTTAAAATAATTTAGTAATATCATTATCTAGGCCCCCTTTTGCCTACACAGGTTATAAAGGGAGGTATTTTTAGGGAGCCATCTGAGGCTCTTACTATGTTCTCGGCACAACTGTGGTCCTTTAAGGGTTGTACCCTTTATATTATTCCACCATCATTTCAGGTCCTCTGTATATTTTGGCTATATGCAGTAGTCTCAACATTTTAAAGCCAAAGATAATAAAATAGAAAGAAAGAAAGCAATAAAGTAGTTCATTTTCTGTGGCAAAAGTCTGCTTTCTCTAAGGTTTTAATATAAAGGTAAGTAAAATCTTAAGGATTAAATTATTTATTGGACATAACACACAAAAATTTAATACTGCTTGAGTTCATATTAAGTACCAGCATAATAGTAAATGAATTACAGTTTCTTCTGTTTACACAGAGGTCACCAAACTATGTCCCATGGGCCAAATCTAGCATACTACCTTTTTTTTGTAAGCCAAATTTTTTTTGATCACGGATGTGACCAGTGTTTACATGTTGGCTGTGGCTGCTTCCAAGCTACAACAGCAGTCGCATAGTTGGAACAGAGAATGTATGGACCACAAAGCCAAAATACTTACTATCTGATGCTTTACAGAAAACATTTGCTGTCTGACTAGTGTGGCTCGGTGGATTGAGTGTCGTTCCATGGACTGAGAGGTCCAGGTTCGATTACCCATCAGGGTACATGCCCGGGTTTCGGGCTTCATCCCCAGTAGGGAGTGTGCAAAAGGCAGCTGATTGATGTTTCTCTCCCACACATTGATATCTCTTTCTCTACCTTCCTCTCTTTCTCTTAAAAAAAAAAAAAAGTCAATAAAAACATTTTTGGAAAGAAAAAAAAACATTTACTGAGCCCCTGGTCTATGCAACTTGTAGAAACAGATGTCATTGTCTCTATTTTATACAACAGAAACTAATTTTTTTAAAGGACAAGGCTCTGTTCTCTGCCTACTAATATTTTTCATTATCTCAGAAGATTATAAGGCAGAAAAAAACACCCCTCCAAAAAACATTTTGTGATAATTAGGAATTTTATTTTTAGGGGCGCCTGCTGATAATGAATGTTTACTTTCTAGTTGCCAAATTTCCAGTATAATCAAGAAGAGGATGATGTTCTACCAAATATGGACAGAAATCCGACAACTCCATCCTCAGTTATCTTTCCATTGGCAAAAACTCCTGAGTGTCAGCATGTCAGTCCTGGAATGCTAGCCTCTATAAATAGGTAAATATTTATGCATATGATACTGTAATTCTCTGCATCAGCATTTAACACTGCATGAGTTGAAGAGAGTAAATATCAATAGTGAGAAAAGTCATTATTTTATCTAGGGGGGAAAAGGAGAAACATCTGTAACAAAAATTGGGTCATTATTTTTTAAAAATCAAGAATAGTTCCTATGAACCCAAGGAATGGACAGTTTCAGCCAGCCAGGGGTGTTGTTCAGTAATGTTGGGACACAGCTCACACTTACATCAGGATAAATTCCAACTGGATCAAAGTTTTACATGTAAAATATTAAACTATAAAATATAACTAAAGTAACCTTGGAGAATTATTTTATAAACTTAGATTGGTGAAGGTCTTCTAATTATGATGCAAGTCCCAGAAGCCACTAACAAAAAGAATGTAGTCATCCATATAAAAAAATGGTTCATCTGGTACCAACCAACCATAAACCATCAAAAGACAAACAAAAAACAGTTGTTGGAGAGGATGTATAAAAATGGAACCTTCATACACTGCTGGTGAGAATATAAATCAGTATAGCTATTATGGAAAACAGTTTGGAGGTTCCTCAGAAAGTTAAGAATAGAGCTACTGCATGACCCAGCAAACCCTCTTCATTTTATCTACCCCCCAAATTGAAAAATATTTATTTGTCAATATACAGGTACTGCTATATTCACTATAGCATTATTCATGGTAGCCAGGACATGGACATAACCCAGGGGTCCTTTGATGCATGCTTGGATAAAGAAGATGTGGTATATATATATACAATGGAATAGTATTCAGTCATAAGAAAAGATGAAATCCTGCCATTTGTGTTAACATGGATTGATCTTGAGTATCCTACTCAGCAAAATAAATCAGAAAAGGACAAGAATCATGATTTCAATCATGTGGGATATAAAACAGAAAGCAACAGACGAATAAACAAAACAAAAAAACTCAGGGACACAGACAGCAGTATGGCGGTTACCAGAGTGGGTAGTGGGGTCAAATATATGGCGACCAGAGGAGACTAAACTTTGGGAGGTGAGCACACAATACAGTATATAGACAATATATTATAATGACCACTTGAAACCTATATAATCTTATATTAACCCATATCATCCCAATAAGTTTTATTTTTTTTAAAGACAATTTGAAAAAAAGAGTACATGGAACTCATCACAGGAAAAAGGCTAATTTCCCTCCTACAAAAAAGGAAAGCCATTCTCATAAATTATTAGCAAGAAGGTTAATTGGTTCAATCTCTGCAAGCAGCAGTTTGTCAATATATATCAAAGTTATAAATGCACGTGCTCTTTAATCCAGCAGTCCTACTTCTACAATTGTGAATGTTCAATTTATTCCTCGCAGTATTGTTTATTATGGCAAAAGACTGAAAACAGCTCAAATGTCTATCAATAAAGGACTAATCAAATAACTTTTGGTACATTATATAGCTATAGAAAATTAATGAAGTTCTTTATGTACTATTACGATAAATGTCCACAATATAGTAAGTGAAAAAAATTACATTGAATTGTGTTGCCATTATGTATATAGGTGTGATGTATGTGTGTATAGGTTTATGCTTGTACATAATTGCTTTATTTAATTAAATATCTCTGAAAGGATACATAAGAGACTGAAGACATTGATGATCCCTAGGGAGAAGAACTAAGATATCTCGGGAGATGTTGAATTTTGAACTATGTGAATATAGGAACTATCTGAAATATAAATGAAATTAAGAAAAATAGGGGTGGCCTACAGTAAAATGTCACAGAGAAAAGATGGAAAGTGATAAGGAAGCCTCAAAATAGGCTATTACATTTGACAGTTAATCAGGACAATGCTGCTGTAGTAAGAACAACTTCCATGGGGTGTGAGGAGCAGAAGCCAGATGATAATGACTCAAAATATAGTCTTCAGTATTCTCATGAAGCTTGGTGGAATTTTGATTTGCATTTATTTAACAAAAACAATTTTTCCCCTAGCAATCCACAAATTATTTTTTTATTTAGTATTTAGTGCAGATGAAAGTAGATTGAGAGGATCATTTTGGACAAAATTTGTGTTAATCGCTTTGGCCAAATGAACAGCTTTAAAATATTCATTCCTTTGGCCCTTGAATTTCATTAGTGAGTTCTGTCCTGGCCAGTGTGGCTCAGTTGGTTGGAGCATCATCCTGTACACAGATGGGTCTCAGGCTCGATTCCTAGTCGCTGTGTTCCCAGGTCTTAGGTTCTGTCAGTCGGGGCATGTACGGGAAGCAACCTATAATGTTTCTCTCTCTCCCTCCTCTCCTCACTCTCTGAAATCAATTTTTGTTTTAGACAATTTTTTTAAATGTTTTTTATTGATTTTCTTTTTTTTTTTTTAGAGAGAGGAAGGGAGAGGGAGAGAGACAGAAACATCAATGCGAGAGAGAAGCATCAATATAGTTTGCCCCCTGGATGCCCCCGACTGCGCCACACCAGCCAGGCTCTGAAATCAAGTTTTAAAAAAATAACCTCACGTGAGAATTAAAAGTAAAAAAGGTATTTAATCAGTTCTAAGAAAAGAGATTTAGGCAAGTGCATATATACATTGATATGAGCAAAGATGTACATAACAGTGAAATACTGAAAATTTAGAATTGACCTCAATGTCCAATACTAACAAAAGTGAAGAAATAAGGATTTGGCCCTGGCCGTTTGGGCTCAGCTGTTGGAGTGTCGGCCTGCGGACCAGAGTCCCAGGTTCGATTCCGCCAGGGGCATGTATCTCAATTGCAGTTCATCCCTGGCCCCGGCTGGGGTCAACCACTTGATGTGTCTCTCTCACAACAATGTTTCTCTCTCTCTCTCCCTCCATCCCACTCTGTCTGAAGATAAATGTAAAAATATCCCCCCGTGAGGAGTAAAAAAAAGAAAAAGAAATTAGGATTTGTCCATATAATAGAATAATAATATGTAATAATTAAAAATCATGCCTTCAAGAACTTTTAATGACAGAATAATGTTCAATAGGTAAAAGTTTTTAAAAGCTAAGAAATAAAACTACACCCAGTGTGATCCCAATTTATATAACACATATTCATAAGAAAAAGGAAATTTCTTGACCATAAATATCACTAGCTGTTATCTCAAAGTTACAGAATTACTCTGATGTGGGTTGTGGTTATCATTTTTACAATAAAGGAAAAAGTACATTTTTTCTTACAGAGAACATGATGGAGAGATATAGAAACACTGACGAGAGAGAACATCGATTGTTTGCCTCTCGCATGCCCCCCACTGGATTCTTGGCCCACAACCTGGGCATGTACCCTGATCAGGAATCAAACTAGCAACCTCTTGGTGCATGGGTCAGTGCTCAACCACTGAACCACACCAGCTGGGCAAATTATTTCATTTTTTAAAACTCTTATAAAAAAGGGAGTCACCTAGAACTGGTTCAAGTCAAGAGATTGTGAAGGAGGACTAGGAAACTCATTTTTTAAAATAAGAAAAAAGCTCAGCTGGTGTTGCTCAGTGATTGAGCATCGGCACATGCCCAGGTTGTGGCCCAATCCCCAGTGGGGGGCATGCAGGAGGCAACCAGTCAGTGTTCTCTCTCATTAATGTTTCTATCTCTCTTTCCCTCTCCCTTCCTCTCTCTAAAATCAATAAAGAAAAATAAATAAATAATGAAACATTTTTTAGCATTCAGATGTGATCCCTTTGTACAGGACAAGACTCATGTAACACTGATCCTGAACAACTGCCTAGACTTATTCACTTGCTGTGCAACAATATTTGTGGTGCATGATACATCTTTTTTTTCAATCTTTTATTTTTAATTTATTGGAGTGACATTGGTTAATAAGATCATATAGGTTTCAAGTGTAGATTTCTATGCTACATGATCTGTACATTGCATTGTGTGCCCACCTCCCAAATTCAGATCTAACATCACCATAAATGTGGTCCCCTTTACCCTTCCCCAACCTCTTTCCCCCTGGTAATCACCATACTGTTGTCTGTGTCTATGAGTTTCAGTTTTATATTCCACATGAGTGAAATCATATGATTCTTAGCTTTTTCTGACTGACTTATTTTGCTTAGCACGATATTCTCAACATCCATGTTGTCGCAAATGGCTGAATTTCATCTTTTCTTATGGCTGAGTAGTATTTCATAGTATATATGTACCACATCTTTATCCAGTCATCTATCAAAGAACACTTAGGTTGTTTCTGTGTTTTGGCCACCGTGAATAACGCTGCAGTGATAATAGGGGTGCATATATCTTTGCAAGTAAATGTTCTCGAAATTTTCTGGTAGATATCCAGGAGAGGGATTGCTGGGACATATGGTTACTCTATTCTTTATTTTTTTTAGTTCTGCCTCCTCCCTCCACCCCCATTTCTATTCTTAATTTTTTGAGAAACCTCAAAACTGTTTTCCATAGTGGCTGTACCAGTTTACATTTCCACCAGCAGTGAATGAGGGTTTCTTTTCTCTGTAATCACTCCAAGACTTATTACTTGTGTTGTTGAGAATAGACGGTCTAATGGTGTAAGGTGATATCTCATTGTAGTTTCGATTTGCTACTTCCTAATAGCTAGTAAAGTTGAACATCTTTTCTATATCTGTTGGCCATTTGTATGTCTTCTTGGGAGAGGTGTCTGTTCAGGTCTACCCTTTTTTTTTTTCTCCTTTACTGATTTTAGAGAGAGAGGAAGTGAGGAGGGAGAGAAACATTGATGAGAGAGAACATCAACTGGCTGCCTCCTGCATACCCCCCACGGGGGATCAGGCCCACAACCTGAGCATGTGTCCTGACCAGGAATCAAACTGGTGACCTCTTCAATGCTCAACCACTGAGCCACACCGGCCGGACATCTGCCCATTTTTTAATTGGATTGGTTTTTTTGAGGTGGGGGGGGGGTTGCTGAGCTGCTGTTTGCAAATATACTCTCCCCTTCGGTTGGTTGCCTTTTTGTTTTGTTGTTGGTTTCTTTTGCTGTGCAGAAGCTTTTTAGTTTGATATAGTCCGATTCATTTATTTTTGCCTTTGCTTCCCTTGCCTTTAAGGTCAAGTTCATAAAATGTTTTCTATGACCAAAGTCCGTAAGTTTAGTACATGTTTTCTTCTATGTAATTTATTGGCTCAGATCCTATATTTGGGTCTGATCCATTTTGAGTTAATTTTTTGTACATGGGAACAGACTAGCCTAGTTTCATTTTTTGTAATGTGGCTTTCCAGTTTTCCCAGCACCATTGTTGAAGAGGCTTTCTTTTCTACATTGTGTGTTTTTGGCTTCTTTGTCAAAATTTTTTGCCCGTATACATATGGTTTTATTTCTGGGCTCTCAATTCTGTTTCATTGGTCTGTGTCTGCTTTTTTGGGGGCCAATACCATGCTGTTTTCATTATTGTTGAAATCAGGTACTGTGATACCTCTGGCTTCTTTTTTTTCTCAGGATTGCTTTGGCTATTTGGGGTCTTTTGTGGTTCCATACAAATCTGATTTTTTTGTTGTATTTTTTTAAAAATGTCATTAGGTTTTTAATGGGGATTGCATTAAATCTGTATTTTGTTTTGGGTGATATGCAAGATTGTGGTACACATTATATCTTAATACAGTCACACATTTATGAATTTTTACATGTCGTACCATATTTACAGTTGCTCCTAAATAGCCATAAATGAAAAGGATAATCGATCACATACGACCTTGGAGTCAAGAGAAAGAATTAGAATTGGTATTCAGCTGATATTTACTGTAAAAAAAAAAAAGACTAGGAATTGTAGGGGAAAATGAAAACAACCAGTGTTTGGCTTCAATTTTCATCTGCAAATTATGAGTTAAGCCTATTTGCTAAAATGAGAAGAATAAGAGATAAGGTAAAAAGAAATGAAAAACACTTCATAGTTGGTATGGGGAATGTTAGAAAGATGTACCTATGTAGAAATAAAAGGCTGTGTGCTGAACTGAAGACTCAGCACAGTTGTAAGCTATAAATTAATTAAGGGTTTTCCCATCACCATGTGTATCCTTAAAGTATCAACTTTAAGATTCAATCTGGATTTAGGGAAGGAGGTGACCAGGATAAAAGAAGCAAAAGGTATAACAAGGGAATTCAGGAATAAGCAGTCTTAGTGAATTTTGGAAAAGCAGCAGTTGGAAAGAGCAGAAATGGGATAATGAACAATAAGCACAAGACTATAATTTCCTAGAATATTATTTGGTATTTCCATTCCCTTTACATGTTTAAAGCTTTTTGTCCATCTCCCTGGGTACGCCATTTTCTCTTTTTAAATGTTGGAGAAAATGCACTTTTTAAACATTGAAAACATCTTAATTTTGTCAGTTGCTGTTCAATCTGTGGAATAAAATATGGTGGTTAATGTTGACTTTGTAATTATTTTGTATTCAAACAGGAATGATTGTGATAAATATGTTTTTCACATGCAAAAACAACATAAAAATAAAGGTGGCATTGTCTGGGGCAATATCAAGAAAAAAACAGTAAGTATTTCTATTCTCCACACCAGATTTATTCAATGTGTATCTACTGAACAACTATGATATATGGCAAATTGTGGGAGTTTATGATGTTGTGAGGTAAGTACATAAGTGCTATAAGTGCTATAAATGACAGATGGCAAGTGATAGACTAAAGCATTTGAGGAAAGTGAGAATAGTAAAAATTTTCTTTCAAAGAGTCAGGTAGGGTGGGGAAAGTATGTACAGGTCAGGAAAGGACATTTCAGGCAAGGCACAAAAGCATATCTGTTTGGTGATTGAGGAATTTATGATTGTCATAGAAAAGAAACTTTATCAAATTCCATGCAGCTTCAAAACGGTTTTAATTTTTTTTTTCAGATTCATCTACTTAACTTATAGGTCTTAACATGTAGGTGAAGATTTACAATGTATTCACAAAAGAAATTTTAACTTAAAGTTGCCTTAATGGTGATCTACATCCGTTTGATAAGAAATTAAGAGAATCCTGTATCCTCTTGAATTAATTTTTAGTTTGATTTTACTTTGGCTGATTTATATCCAGATAAATGTACAAGCTAACTTGTACATGGAAAGCTGACTTGCCTCAAATTTCCTCAAAGTCAACAGCTAATCTTAGAAAATAATAGTTTATGGAATATACCCTGTAGGTGTATTCCTTCTTACCAAGTAACAGCCACCGCTTCCTCCCTCACCCATGTGGAAATATTTATATTGTACACTTGCCAGAGTAAAATTCCCTCCGAGTCTCTAAAGTAAACATTGGGATTACTTATCACATCCCATCTTTACGGGTGGGCTCCACTTATCCACAGGCAATGATATCTCTGTGGAGCTTGGTTTAAAGTCAGCCTGGAAACTAAATTCTCCAAAAGAAACCCCAGTCCATAACTGAAGATGTAGGCAGAGTCCTTCGTGGTGTTTCTCAGATTCCCCCTTCATTGTCTCGCATTTCTTATGAACATGAAATTTTGGTTTGTTGGACCAGGAATCACCTTAACATAGTAGGGTTGCCTTGACAGAGTTCCTCAAACTTAAATGTGCTTGGGAGTTACCTAGGGATCTTATTGAACCCTAGATTCTGATTCAGTACATTTGAGATTTTTTCTGCATTTCTAACAACCTCCAGGTGATGCCCCTGTTGCTGATCCATGGACCATGATAAGTACTAGCAAGACCCTAGTCCACTGTGCTCTGCAAAATGAGAAAAAGTGCATTGGATATATGCAAAAGGGCCCTTCCTATTAAAAACGTATTTCTCTGTTTTTCTGACATAATCTTAAGTACTGCTGTTTTTCTAAATGGATTATAATTTGAGCCACCAAACTATAGAATCTTTGTGATTTAGCCCCATTTTTTCATAGATTAATACTTTGCCTAATGTGCAAAGATAGAAAGAGCAATGGATTTAGTGTTCAAAATTAGGATGTCCAGTAGACGAATGGATAAAAAAGCTGTGGTACATATACACAATGGAGTACTATGCAGCTCTAAGAAAGAAAGATCTCTTATCCCTTGAGACAGCATGCAGGGACCTGGAAAGTATTATCCTAAGTGAAACAAGCCAAGCAGAGAAGGACAAATATCACACAATCTCACTTATTTGTGGAATATAATGAACATAACAGTCTGAGGAACGGAGTAGTCCCAGAGACATGGAAGTGGGGTACAGACCAACAATCCCCTGAAGGGGGAGGAGGGATAAACTACAGAACTTATATGCATGTATGTATGAACAATGGACATGGACAACAAAGGTGGGGACAGGGTGGGAGGGAGGGGGAAGGGGGAAGGGGGAATCAGTGGGGGGAAAAGGAGAAACATCCGTATCAAAATTTAATTTAAAAAAAACAGCCCTGGCCGGTTTGGCTCAGCGGTTGGAGCGTCCACCTGCGGTCCGGAGAGACCCGGGTTCGGTTCCCACTAAGGGCACGTACCTCGGTTGCAGTTTGTTCCCGGCCCTGGTTGGTCGTGCGGGTGGCAGCCACTCGATGTGTCCCTTCACATCGATGTTTCTCTCTCTCTAACTCTCTCTCCCTCCCGCTCTATCTGAATAAAAAATGGAAAAATGTCCTCGGGTGAGGATAAAAAAAAAAATTAGGATGTCAAGGTTTGACTCCCCGTACCAGCTTTATGGTGAAGCAAGCTGCTTGAGCTTTCTAATCTTTTTATTCATGTATGGTATGACCTGGGGATCATAATGATATTGGTTTATCTCACCAAATGATTTTGAGAGCTAAAAGATGTAATAGTGTTTTGACTCATTTCATAGGAAGAAAAAGTATTTACATCACAGTCTATGAACATGAGTTTGTATCTCAAAGATTTCTTTCAAAAATACTTCCCTAAGCATAGTGCGTATACTGTCATATTTTCTTTTCTATTGTTTTTCATTTTTAAAAAGATAACCAGCTATGGGCAATAGTTTAAAATTACCACTGTAGGCAAGATTTTAAACTACAGAGAATTAAAAGTACTCTGGTTACAGCCCTGGCCAGTTTGGCTCAGCGGTTAGAGCGTCGGCCTGGGGTCCGGAGAGACCCGGGTTCGGTTCCCGCTAAGGGCACATACTTCGGTTGCAGTTTGTCCCCGGCCCTGGTTGGTCGTGCGGGTGGCAGCCACTCGATGTGTCCCTTCACATCGATGTTTCTCTCTCTCTCCCTTCCTCTCTCTCCCTCCCGCTCTATCTGTACAAAAAAATGGAAAAATATCCTCGGGTGAGGATAAAAAAAAAAAAAAAAGTACTCTGGTTACAGTACATGTTCACCTACCTGTCTCTGGAATAAGTACTTAGTAGGTTTTGGCAACGTTCAGAGGCCCACGGCCTATCCTTTAACTGCTGTTGCATTAGTTTGTAATGTGGGAGACAACACTGAATAAGTCATGGTTCTTGCCCCAGATAAATTCATCTTAGAATTAGACATTTCATGAATAATTATAAAGTGATTAAGTGTTGTTATAAGTACTCTGGGGATAAAGCATGCTTAATTTTGTCTAGGTTTGAGGCTGGCTTCACAGGAGATATCATTTTGTTATTAACATGAACTCTTCTTGTAGGTTGAAAATGAGTTTTCAACTCCAACATCAAGAAGAAGAACCCCATTTAACAAAGGTAATACACATATCTTTCTTTTGTAGCTCAGTTCTATTATAGTGTAGTCTCTTTATTAACATGGTACTAAAATTAACTGCTCTCAAGTGGGTAGACCTACCATTTTTATTTCTTATAGTTATTTTCATTGAAATTGAAATTATTTTTAGAAATGTATTAATCTTTTTTTTTATTAAACTCTTAGGAGAAAACTCTAATATTGGAAAACTTTTTACTAATGCTATGGAGTCCTTGGATGAAGAAGAGAAAGATGATTATTTTTCAAGCTCTGATTCTGCATAGTAAAAGTAAAAATATTTCTAGTATTTTTATGAAGAAGCAGACAGTTACTTGTACCTTCATTTCAGAGTTTCTTTTGAAATTGTGGGCTCCTTTTCAAAGGTTTTATGTATTTGTATTCAAAGCTAAAGATTCTTCTAGAGAAGATTGCTGCAACTTACTAAAAATAAAAATTTAAGGAAAGTTGTTTTACTTGCTGTATAGATATTTCTAAAATTGTTTTTGCTGTTAAAGTATATATAATTTCTCATAAGCATCTAAGCCTGTTTAAGAAAATCATGTTCCAAACTGGATTTTTTAAAAGGTTTCAAGAAAATGTTGCTATCCATAAGGGAGGAGATTGGGGAGAATAAAAACTTTAAGTTAGCATTTTTCACCACTTGGTATAATAAACCAGAGTTGATATGATATTTAAATTATATGTTGTTGAAACTATTTTATATACTTTCTTTTCTCCCAATTGTTTTTCTTAAAATTTATGACTGGCATGGCATATCTATTGAACCTGTGTAAATTTTAATTTATTGCTGTTTCAGTATTTTATTTGGTAAAAATCAGAGAACAGATTTTGTTGCATTCTTAAGACTTATTTCATATGCAGACATAGCTTAAATTTGATCTCAGTATTAAAAAGATTGGAATAGACAAACATTCAAGTATCAGGAGTCAAGTTAATGTTGTAGTAAACACTTTTCCTTTCAGATAGCTCTCTTAGGGGGGGAAAAACTTTTAGCTTGTTGTGCCATTATGTTTTAAAATTTGATATAGAATATTCCCCTCTGGTTACAGTACATGTTCACCTACCCATCTCTCCAGTTAGGTTGTTCAAATAAAATTAGTTTGCTTTTACAATATTTGTGTTTTGTTTGTTGTTTTTCCCAGAATTTGTAGTAAAAGATACTTTTTCTTGTATCTTAAGAATTTAGTCAATAACAGTCAGCAGTTATAGAATAGAGGATTTATAGAAATAATGAGATTTAAACAGAATAGTGCAGTTAGATCATTTTTTAAACTATCACGCTTGCTTCTGCCACAAAGACTTGACAGACAGATGTAGGATGGAACAATTGAAGGTTATTTTAGAGTGGTCTAAAAAATAGAGTTGAAGAACTTATGTTGGCAATATTTAGTATAATAACATGCTGCTTTATGTTAATGGTGTTTTAGGAGTTAAACTGCTTAATGGAAACAAAGATACTTTTGAAATACCAGACTCACACAAACCAAAGTGTGACCCCTCCCTCCACTCACCATATTCCCTAGTGGATTTTAAGGGCTCAAAGAAAAATAGTAAGATGGAATGATAATCAATAGGTTTGATATTTAAGTGTACCAATGAGAGTTACTGTAGCTTAAATATGGATTGAGCTCTACACAGCAAGTATAAATAAAAAATTTCTAGCTACGTGCCTCACACCATATTAATTTATGAAATATTATGCTTGAAGGGTAGACATAAAATCTGGGTATGTTAGTGTCTGCATGGGAGGTGCTGCCATGTGGTGGTCAGCCCAGGTCACTGTGAGGTTGTTGAGGAACCGCATGCTTCCCACACACCGGATGTCCCAGCCACAAGCACTGCTGACAGCGTATCAGGAGCAGAAGAGCAAAACAACGAACCAGAAGAAAGACCCCCTTTCTTCCTTCTATTTACAAAACTTAATCAGGCTCACTACTAAGGAGAAATGCTCAAAATGTCCAGTCCATCATAGCAGAGCAAGACACTGAAGGGTAGATTGAACCTGAGAGGTAATGGGTTGATAACTGCTGTTAGCCAGTAACTGAGCTGCTGTTCTCACTGGGTTGGACAATTGTTGAACAACAGAAATGTGAGATCTCAGAAGCACTGAGAATTTATTGTATCCCAAAGAAGCTAAATTCACAATTACAGTAACTTTTTAGCAAAAGAGAACTGTATTTAGTTTCTGTGATCTGGTTCTAGATGTGCTTAAAGTCACTTGTTTCTGGGCCTCACTTTTATCATCTGATAAGAAAGGAAAGAGAAAAGCAGTTTGAATTAGATAAGTTCTGAAGTCCCTGCCAAGTCTAAGGTAAGAAAAGCACTCTTCTGTGAGGGTTCATAAACCCAATAATGGAACAAGAATAGAAGGCAATCCAAAATAAAGGGCTGTTAAGTGGGGCGGAAGTCTGACTAGAAGGAATGGCCTCAGCTGTTGCAGATGAAAACATGGAGCCATCTCAAAATGAATAGCCTCACAAACACAATAATGGTCACAATGGAAGTTCACTTCTTTGCATATGATACTTCAACAGCAACAAAAAATGTAGGTTAAAGTTTATACATCTGACTACTTGATTGGGTCACCTCTGGTAAGATGAACATTAACACTTTCTACTTTCCTAGTTACTGGGGCATTTATCTCAATAATACACCCACATGTTAGCCAGTTTGTATGTACATTCAGGAAGTTAAAAATAGCCTAAATTATAGGAAAAATTGTTTATGACCATTAAGTTGGCAGCAGTCAGATGCATCAACCTATTACACTAACATGACGATAGTAGAAAAACCTTTGGAAAAATTCCAAAATACATTTCAAATTCTAGTTCTTCCTTCTTTTTTTTTTTTTATCCTCATCCGAGGACATTTTTCCATTTTTTGTACAGATAGAGTGGGAGGGAGAGAGAGGGGGAAACATCGATGTGAAAGGGACACATCGAGTGGCTGCCACCCTCACGACCAACCAGGGCCGGGGACAAACCGCAACCGAGATACATGCCCTTAGCGGGAACCGAACCCGGGTCTCTCCGGACCACAGGCGGACGCTCTAACCGCTGAGCCAAACTGGCCAGGGCTAGTTCTTCTTTCTTAATAGCATCTTCAATAACATATTATTCAAGACAAATACAGTTTCCTAGTCCAATTAATTAAATGATTATTGAACATAAGATTTTTAAAAATATATAATCTATATAAATAAAAGTATATACAATATAAAATAAGATGGAAATGTTCTCTTATTTACATATTTTAAACTGATAATCACAAACCACAATGATCAATGAAATGCATTTAGTGTTGTGAGAGTTCTTTGATAACTGCACCTTGAGGTCTGATCATGCATCAGATTCCAGTCTACCTTCGATAAGACCATTCGGTAACATGTGCACATCAAATACATAGTGAATATATCTATAAATCTCCTCAGCCTTTTGATGAGTTACTTGTGCATACATGGAGATTTCTTGAGATGAGCTGAAAAATATATTAGACCAAGAAAAACATTATATGGCTGCTCTGTCTGGAGTAGCCCCCCCGTCTCACAGCTTTACTAAGAAACTCAACTTTCACTTTAAACTTTTTTTTTTAATTCTCACCCGAGGACATTTTTTTTCCATTTTTTGTGCAGAGAGAGAGAAACATCGACATGAAAGGGACACATCGAGTGGCTGCCACCCATACGGCCCAACTAGGGCCGGGGATAAACTGCAAGCAAGGTACGTGCCCTTAGCAGGAACCGGACCCGGGTCTCTCTGGACCGCAGGCCGACGCTCTAACCGCTGAGCCAAACCGGCCAGGGCTCACTTTAAACTCTTAAAAAAAAATTTATTACACTAGAACTTTTGACTTAAGTTTATTATCTTGCTTAAAGAACACCAAAAAGCCCTGGCTGGTTTGGCTCGGACATCAGCACTGGACCAGAGAGACGACAGGTTCAATTCTCAGTCAAGGGCATGAACCTCAGTTGTGTGTTTGATCCCCCAGTCGAGATCATGCGGGAGGCAACCAACTGATGTGACTCTCTCATGTCGATGTTTTTCTCTCTCCCTCCCTTCCACTCCATCTAAAAATCAATGGAGCCCTAGTCGGTTTGGCTCAGCCATTAGACCGTGGCACTCGGACCAGAGTCCTCGGTTCGATTCCCGCTATGGGCACGTGCCTTGGTTGCGGTTCATCCCCAGCCCCTGTTGGGGTCATGTGGGTGGCAACCACTCGATACATCTCTCTCACATAGATGTTTTTCTCTCTCTCTTCCCCTCTCTCTCCCACCCACTCTAGCTGAAGATAAATACAAACATGTCCTCGAGTCAGGATAAAATAATAAATAAAAATCAATAGAAAAATATCAAAATATCCTCAGGTGAGGATTAACAATAAAAAAAAAACACACACACAAAAGCTTATTCCCTATATTTAAAATCATATGCCCTGGCCGGTTTGGCTCAGCAGTTAGAGTGTCGGCCCGCGGACCAGAAAGTCCCGGGTTCAATTCCCGCTAAGGGCACGTACCTTGGTTGCAATTTGTCCCCGGCCCTGGTTGGATCATGCGGGTGGCAGCCACTCGATATGTCCCTTTCACATCAATGTTTCTCTCTCTCCCTTCCTCCCTCTCTCCCTCCCACTCTATCTGAAAGATAAATGCAAAAAAAGTGTCCTCAGGTGAGGATGAAATCTTATATAACAATAATTTCAACCTCATAGATGGGCCTTTAGTTCAGTTAACCAATTTTCTAAAATCTTCCTTTTCAAGCAATGTAATAATAAAAATTGGCACAATGTTCAACTTGAACTGAACATCCCAGAAGTGTTAGAATGCAACATCCAGTGTAAAGGCTGTCTCATTCCCTTTAGAGCTCTAAGCTCAAAGATAGTACCTGTCTTTCCCCCCATTGATGTTCTCAGCTTCATGCATTGACTGCTACATATTGGCAAGCAAAAAGTCTCTACTGAATGAAATACTCTAACAGACTAGCCTATACCTTTTAAAAAATACATTAAAATTTCTGTGAAATGCTTCCCAGAATCATTTAAAAGTAACCATTTAAAAATATTAAAATAGCCTGGTCAGTGTGGCTCAGTAGTTGAGCGTCGACCCAGGCACCAAGAGATCACCAGTTCGATTCCTGGTCAGGGCACATGCCCAGGTTGTGGGCCTGATCCCCAGTGGGGGGCATGCAGGAGGCGGCCAGTCGATGTTCTCTCTTATCGATGTTTCTCTCCCTCTCCCTCTCTCTAAAACCCAATAAAGAAAAAAAAATTTTTTTTAATATTAAAGCAGACATACCTGTTAGTCATCTTTTTCACAGATGAAAACTGGTGACACATATTTAATGCAGTTATGTAACTTATATTGGGAATACTGAGATAAAATTGAAGTGCTTCACACTTGTTACTATTCACTGTTGGAACCT